ATGATTATTGTACCTCAGAAGAATTGTCTACATTCCCTATCTTCTCTCTCTTCTATGAAAAAGGATATATAAGCTCCTATACCATACTGGGTTATTGAGCAATCACTGTGATTTTCCCTCGAGCATGTTAATAATTTGTATGCCTTTTTTCCTATTAATTTACCTTTTGTCAGTTGATTTTCAGCAAATCTTGAGAGGACAAAGAAGAAGCTCTTTTCACTCCTACAATGGAATGATAATCTCCACCTCATTTGGTTTTAAAATAATTCAATGATATATTGCGGGCAAAGCAGTTCAGAATAAAACCTGACATATAGTAATACTAGTTGCTAATGGTTATTAAATGCGTATTATGTGCTAGGGCTCAAAAATATTACACGTTACTCTTCCTGTTTGTCAAACAGGGCATGTTCAAAGACTTAAATTTGACAGATGAGAATCTACAAAGCAGGGAGGTTGCCCAAACTCAGTACTCAATACCACGCATCAGAATCACCTTGGAGGACTTGTTAATACAACACAGATTGCTGGGCCCCACCCATCCCCAGATTTTCATATTCAGTAGGACTGGAGAGTGCTGTCTAAGAATATGCATTTCTAACAACATCCCAGGTGATGCTGATGCTGCTGGTCTGGGGACCAAACTTTGAGCTACATGGGCATAGAGGTTAAGAGGTCACATTTTGAAATCAGGAGGATTCATATTGGAAGCTGAGCTTTAATACTGGATGGCCTTGGGAAAATTACCTTGTCTTTTTTTTTTTTTTTTTTGAGATGGAGTCTTACTCTATTGCTCAGGCTGGAGTGCAGCGGTGTGATCTCAGTTCACTGCAACCTCCGCTTCCCAGGTTCAAGTGATTCTCCTGCCTCAGCCTTCCAAGTAGCTCGGATTACAGGCACGTGCCACCATGTCCAGCTAATTTTTTTGTATTTTTAGTAGAGACAGGGTTTCACCATGTTCGCCAGGATGGTCTCGATCTCCTGACCTCATGATGCACCCGCTTCAGCCTTCCAAAGTGCTAGGATTACAGGCATGAACCACCACACCTGGCCTAGCTTGTCTTTTTAAGCTTCAATTTCTTTGTCTCCAAATAAGTGTAATAATAAGAGTTGTATAAAGAGTTGAAGTAGATGAGACATATAGAACATCTGGCACACAATTAGTGCATAATGTGTGTTAGCCATTGTTCCTATTCTACTACATTTTGGACCACTCTCCAGTCTTTTCTGTGCTTCTACCTCTTTATTTGTAAAGTGAGGATATTAATCTGTATTGTATGGAAGTTGAAGGCACTCAAAAAGGCAATAGCCTCAGGTGCCTTTAATTTATTTTTATTATTATTATTATTTTTAGATGGAGTCTTGCTCTGTCGCCCAGGCTAGAGTGCAGTGGCATGATCTTGGCTCACTGCAACCTCCGACTCCTGGTTTCAAGCGATTCTCCTGCCTCAGCCTCCTGAGTAGCTGGGACTACAGGCGCCCACCACCACGCCCAGCTAAGTTTTGTATTTTTAGTAGAGATAGGGTTTCACCATGTTGGCCAGGATGGTCTTGATCTCCTAACCTCGTGATCCGCCCGCCTGAGCCTCCCAAAGTGCTGGAATGACAGGTGTGAGCCACCGCGCCCGGCCTTATTATTTTTAAACTTATTTTTGGTTCAGGTTTGTTATCTAGGTAATCTCATGTCACAGGAGTTTGCTGTACAGATTGTTTCACCGAGTACCTTGGGTGCCATTTAAAAGTAAAAAGCTCTGTCTAAATCAGTGGTCCCCAACCTTTTTGGCACCAGGGACCAATTTTGTGGAAGAAAATTTTTCCATGGACTTGAGGGGTGATGGAAGGAGGGGGATGGTTTCGGGATGAAACTGTTCCACCTCAGATCATCAGGGGCTGGATTCTCATAAGGAGTGCTCAACCTAGATCCCTCGCATACACAGTTCACAACAAGGTTCGCTGTCCTGTGAGAATCTAATGCCACTGCTTCTCTGACAGGAGGTGGAGCTCAGACGGTAATGCTCTCTCACCCACTGCTTACCTCCTGCTGTGCAACCTGGTTCCTAATAGGCCACAGACCAGTACCTGTCCATGGCCTGGGGGTTGGGGACGCCTGCTCTAAATGTTACAGCTTTTAATGACCATCCTAGAGGTTGAACTTCTGGTCCCCTTCTTAAACGGGTCTTGCAATGTCTTTCTCTTGGGCTGCATTTGAAAATCCTCTGCTATTACAAGAGGTCTAAGACTCCTAATAGCTCTTTCAGACCTGACTCTCACCTTTAATTTTACTCCCCAGTTGTCTTGTCCTCATAGTCCTCCACTAAAGCCTGAACAACAAAGTAGGACGATTGGTTTTATTTCCCCTTCTGTCCTGGCTCATCTTTATTTATTGCTGTTGTGTTATTCTTTGCAGGTAGACAGTTGTTTCCTCCCCTCTGCTATCTGTTCTGAGTCAGGGAGAAATGTCAACTTGGATGTCGACTAAGTTAGTGGTCATTGCAAAGTTCTTTAGGAAAAAAAGAATGTCTTAAAATGTTTAAATTTATATGTCTTACAAAGGATATTATCTGATTAAAGCGTAGACTTAGTAATATTCCCTGGTTTCTGAACTTCTCCACTCCTATTACGCTTTGTTTCTATGGTTGTATTGTCAGCTTTTGTGATTTTTTTTTGTTGTTGTTTACTGTAACTCTTTGGCAAGCCCTAAGATACAGAAACTTCTTGGCCACTAATGGTTTGCAGCAGGACAATAGAGATAGGAAACATATTTCATTGCCAACTCTTTCTTAAGATGGCAATAGATGCCAAGTTTCTTCCAGGGGCCAAAGTGGAAAGTAATTTTATATTAAGATAATTTACAAAAAGGTGGTTGCATCATTAAAATTGTTGAAGAAAAATTATTCATGACACTTTAATGTTAAAGACAGTAAGGCAGGCTTTATTTAAGAGGGTCCATAGTAGTAAATATAAGGACATCTGCAATGGGGTTTTGCTGTAGGGGAGAGAAATTGGACTCAACTTCAACTTCAGCAAGGACAAGTGGGGATTAAATAAAACAGGAAATTTAACCTTTCCTGTTTAAAGCAGGAGCAGGATGGGAGGTCAGTGGATGAAAACTCACTAAGAGGAAGGGGAAACATCAGGGGTAAAGGGAATTCCTGCTGAAGGCAGACCCAGGTGATAAGATATCAAGGATGGTCAGGTACCTAGGTTGGGAGATTTTCACTAACCTTACTTTAAACTGGAGTCTACGAGGACAGAGAGGGAAGCCCAAGGATGGGCCTAGTCAGGCAGAGGACACTGAGGAATCTAACTAAAGTTTTGGTCAAAGGAGAAGTTATTGTCACAACAAATCCTAGAAAAAAAGCAAGCTTCATTCATATCAACAGTTCTCTATTATAATAGTAAAATTTTCCTTGGAAAAGACTGGATTGGGAGATATTTTAGTGAGCATGTCCTTTGGGGTTCATTACCTCTTTTAGTGAGGAGGCAAATGTTTGTTAACTTCTACAAAGAACCATCCCCGCATGGTTTTCTCTTATTATTCAGGCTCGGATTCTACCAGTTAATTTTTACTCTTCTATTATGAATGCTCCTTTCATCAGGAGCATCAAAAGTCTTGCCAGTTCTCTGAAAATCTAGCTGTAGAAACTCTTCTGGATTCTAGAAGGTTTGATACAATTAGTTTCAATAATGTTTTATAATAATATTGTGTTAGAAAAATCATGCTTTTTCCTTTTATATGTAATATTAGTTCAGATTTAAGATTGTGATGACTTTGGTTCAGGTATGACTCTTAAATACAGTCTGAGATTTGTTTAAATACATGGATGTTTCCAGACATATGAGATACCAAAAAAAGAGGATTAACCATGCAAAACATTAAAGGCTCCACTGACAGTTCTGCTTTAGTGTTGGAAATAGCTATTGTGTCCACTGACTTTCTGAGCAGCTTTCTTAAACTCCTGGCCTTGAGTGATCCTCATGCTTCAGCCTCCCAAAGCACTGGGATTACAAGTGTGAGCCACTGTCCTGGCAATGAGCGGCATTTTTATTTGTCTGTATTTCCATATGAACAGGTCCTCCCCCTGAGTAATAGGAAAACCAGGTTTGATTTCAGCATTGTCTTATTTCGCTGTATTATTTTGATTTTATATTTTTATATTTTATTTTATTTGCTGTATTGTTTTTAAATTTGTGTCTTGGTTTCCTACATTCTTGGTCCCAAGTTGGCCGGCCCTTCCAGCTCTAACATTTTATGATTATGGAAGATATATTAGCAAAATTACCAAGTGATTAGTTCAAGTTGCAATACTCTCTTTTTCTTTAAGAATAAATTCTGTCAAATAGTTACTTTGGAAAAAAAAAAAAAGTCTAGCTTCATAGGTCAATTTATTTTGTTAACCTACTTCTTTGAATCCAGAAACCGTTTTAAAAGGAAGGATTGCTTTGATTTAATGATTTTATTTGTAAATCTGCTACTGTATTTTTTTTTTAAAAAAATAAAGGTTTCTGTGAGCAAGTTATAGAAAAATGAAATATTGGAGTTGTGAAGGACAGTGATCTTTCCACTAAAATATGAAAAAGGCAAAAGGGCAAACTCATGACTCTGGAAATAGGCACGGCGTCTCTTTACCAAATGTCACACTGTCCGCAAATGTCTAAAGTGTCTCTGAAGGGCTCAGTGGCGATCCAACCAGGGCAGTACCTCTGAGAGTACACCAACACTGTTGGTAACAGGTGACATTTTGGTTATTAATGAAGTAAAGAACTGAAAACAGGAATTTAGTTGGAGACAGCTGGAGAGTCAAGTATATGTACACAATACTGTACGTAACCAACTCAGTACTTACGTGACTAAAGGTTAAGACAACTATATTCTTCATGATAATGTCGTGGAAGATTTTTCTCATTTTAAAGCAGTCACTTTTGACCTTTCTTCTGAACAGACAGATGACAAAAATTGATAAATGAGGAGCAGGTGAATAGAAAACAGAACACTCTCCTTCAACAAACTGCAGTTTTATTCCTATACTAGTGAGAATGTATGCAAGATGCTTTATAGATTTTTTTTTAACCACAGTTACAAATATAAAAATATATTAAGCAAATACATAATTTAAATTGAAAGACTAAGGAAGTTCTTTGTTCAAATACAGTTAGAAACACAATATTGTGGGTGGATGCTATAGTATGAAAAAATAGAATCATCTACTGCCATCTTAACTGGATTTTCAGAGAAATAATAAATGATATTAAAAACTTAAAAGTGCTCTATTATAGAACATAAAAAGTTCAGTTGCTGTATTTACTTACATTATTTATGCTTCACACAAATGAAGGAACAGCTAGATTAACCTCCATGGACAACAGTATTATTGGACACTGACTACCTAACATCCAAAATATGAGGTCAGGAGCAATTTCAAGAAGTGTGTGTAGAATGCCTGTGAGCTGTGCGCTAATTTCCACAAAGTAGGAGTAGAGATGAGATTAAAGACTTGGTCCTTGTTCTTGAAGAATTTATAAGCCCAACAGTCCTGCACAGAAAACCAGAAATACTCTTCCAGTAGAGCATTGGTGCACCCTCTTGTCAATGTGGCAGACTAGGACATTCCACAAAGGCTGGTACAGGCTTTCCTACTAACCTGCAGATGGAATGCTGTCCAGCTGTGCCACAAACTCTTAAAGCCACAATTGCACATATTCCTTTCTTGATGGGGGTGCTTATCTATGCACACAGGTATTACAACATCTCCACATAACTGAAAGCTTGTTCTTGGGGTGAGGATAGTATTTATTAAAACGGTTATAACCAATCCTTTTTGTGACTGTTCTAGAAGGGACACATTGCATTTGTCTGACATTATTCACAGTTTTGAATAACTTATTTTGGTGTCTTATGTAAGATCATGTGAATTGGCATACAGGTTATAAAAATAATCTTTGGTAAACCTGTTAATCTCTTATTTCCCTTACATAAGCCTCTATTTTCAGAGCATTCACCAACAATTTCTTTATTTAATAAGTGTATCTTATATAGGCAATCTTTTAAAAAATAAAATGCCTTATTTGTGTTGCATGCATTTATTCCAAGGGAGCCTCCCTACAAGTCAAGAGTATTCTCTTAGCCAGAAATACTTCTATTGCTAGAAACATTTTTAGAACAGAACAGATTTTTCCTGTTATCATGGCTGCATCAAATGTTACCCTGCATTTTAACTAAAATGGCCAAACATTTTCAAAGTCATCATTCTCTACAAGAATCTAAGGCAGTGTGTCTAAAATGCCAAACCCAGTACATTTAGTTAAATATCTGGTCAATTCAAAAAGCAAAATAAATTGATTCAATTGTTTAATCAGTTAAACCATCTGGCCAGCGTAGTCAGAGTGAATCCTCAAAAGGGCAACATGTCCTAATAGAAACATATGACAGGATTGTCCAAGCACACCCAGGCCACAAAGAAGAGATGCCGTTTTATCTTCCTGATGATGTCTTGGTTAGATTCTCTTTTGCAAGTATTTTCTCTTTGCATCATTTCACTTGCTTTTTGCAGTCATCGTTTACCGATTTTCCTTTGATAGGGAACATTCTTTGAATACCTGATGTAATTCTAAATTTCAGGTTAAAAATAGCAGTGCAGAAAATTAGCACAGCATTTTCTCCTTCAACTCTTCAGGAATGAGGTAGGCTTGAGGGCTTGCTCACTGCAACTTGGAGGAGGATCAGTCATTCCTTATTGCCACTCTATCTTGGCTAAGCAGATATAATATTTTCATTTCCCCAATGAAATGGAACCCAGAAAGCCCTTGAACTGCTAACATATACAAGCAACTTATTACCTATTGATTTTCACCAGGTCAGGTTTGGTCTGGCTCATATTTGTAAACTAAAACTCTAGAGTGTCCCAGAGTTTGGGCTCAGATACTACCACTGCTGTTGTGCAGATCTGGTAGCTTTATTATTTCAGGATTCCAATGTCAAAGAATTCTCAGAAAGCTAAGTGAATGAGAATTTAGCATATGGCCAATAATATTATTGCAAAAGGTAAGGAAAATATTTAACATAAGAAATTGGATCCTTAGACACCAAAGCAAGAGAATCAGCCTGTGAAGGGTAGCATGTGAGGTCTATTTTTATATTGCTGGACATCTGCTAAATGGTTTAATATTATTTTCACATGTCATTTTGGACTTTCTTCCAAAAGGTGATTACAAAATTTATCAAAGACCCTCCCAAAGAAAACTGCCCCAAAAATGTCTGTGTGCTGTGTGCCTTTTAGTATTTAAAAGTGCAATTGGCCAGGTGTGGTGGCTCACTCCTGTATTCCCAGCACTTTGGGAGGTTGAGGTGGGTGGATCACCTGAGGTCAGGAGTTTGAGACCAACCTGGCCAACATGGTGAAACCCCATCTCTACTGAAAACACAAAAATTAGCCAGGCATGGTGGCAGGCACCTGTAATTACAGCTACTCAGGAGGCTGAGGCAGAATCACTTGAACCCCGGAGGCGGAGGTTGCAGTGAGCTGAGACTGCTCCACTGCACTCCACCCTGGGCGACAGAGCGAGACTCCGTTTCAAAAAAAAGGGGAAATTATGGTCATCTTTTTGATGATGTGGAACCTGAAAGGATTGTGAAATTATACTTATGAGTATAAAAGATAATATGAACAGTAGATAAAAATCACATTCAATTGGGAAAACAAACATTTTCAACTGGGAGGAGTGGGGCAACTAATAAAACAGAGGGACTCAGAGGTTTAAGGGATAGAGAATTACTTAGGACAAATACGTGCAAGCCCAGGTAAGAGAGGTGAGTCTTTGAAAATTCTGATTCAAGAGCTGAACAATTGGCTGCTTTCCAGAGAACACCACAAATAATAATACAAAATTGATTTAATGAGATGAGATTAAAGGAGTTAATTATAACGAACTTGGAAAAATAATTATTAAGATGCTAGATGGGACTCTCCCAAGATTTGATAGCTCAAAAGCACTTTGAAGCCTTGATGATTAAAGTGTATTGCACAGGTGTACAGACAGGATGTCCACCAAGACAGGAGATGGAGTGTTTACCAAGATATAACACATGATGCAATTAAATGAAAATAAATCCAATGGAGCTGAATGTCAAGGAAAACTTTTTTCTCCTAAATTTAATAAATAAATCAATTAATGTATTTAGTCTTCCCAGGAGCAGGAGTGAATAGTGAAATATTTGTTGTTAAGGAGATTTAAAATTGAGTGTAGGGTAGGAATAGACATTTCCTGGGTTGGATTAGACTTTAAAAACCTACAATTTTTCCCTGTCATGTCCACTTACATAATTCTGATACTACCCTAGATGTTGCCAGGGTACGGGAGTGTTATTTACTGTTACAGATGTATAGGTTTTTTATGATTTTAATTCCTGATTTGTGCAATTAATTGCTCTCTCTTCTAGATCCAGAGGTTTGCTATTGAAGTAGCATTAGCACTTTCCAGTGTGTGGCCTGTGGAAGGTGACCACTGTCCTAGACCGGCTCAGTTATCCCATTCGCTTGATGAGGCTCTTTTAAATTCAACTGAAGGTAGTAACAACAGCCCTAACTTTATGAGGATTCTCTTTATGTGAGTAGAAATGGGTAGATTCTGGAACAGTGCCTAGCAGGTTGCAGGCACTTACTAAAAGTTTTCTGAGTGAATGAAAAGTCAAAAATGAATGTATCCTTCCAGGCATTAATGTGCTTTGCATCAAGCAACACTACTGTAAAATTCTGCTTTTTTTCTTGCTTTTTCTTTTCCATGTAGGAAAGGTGATTTCTAATAGATGCCACACGTTGTAAATCTCTGACCTCTATTTTCTCACTGGTGGTCCATCTACTGCACTTACACATATGTTGTTCCTTTTCATTTCCAGAAGATCCGCTTAGTTCCTTGATACAGAATCAGAGCCTAAGACTGTCATTTCACAAGGGCATTGAGCACAATGAAACTGTGAAACTTTGAAACTTAAGATTATGCTTCACGTTTTTGCAAACTTCAAATAACCCTGGAAAAATTTCCAGATTGGGTGTAGAGTTATTTAATTATAAATAACTATTTTAGGTATAGTCAATGATTTTCAATTATTATGTCAATTACATTCACTGTATTATGGGACTTTATGGTAGATTACAAAAATACATACTTTGAAAAAAAATGTACTCTTTCTGCAAAGGAAGCTATGCCATCAACAAACTTGACCTCTAATTCCCAAGTTTATTATAGAAAAATTTGCAGTATGAAAAAGGCAAACATCTCCAGCTCATCTTCTCAGGTCTCTATGAAGATTCCATACAAATGCCTTTCAAATTTTTCCCAGGAATGCTCTCGGAACTGGACCTTGATGAAGGAAATACCCACTTTCTCACTCACTGGAGTTTGTTATAGTCACAGTAAGGTACAAATACTGAAGGTAAACTTGGTACAGTACATAGTACCTTTTGTTATTAAATGCAACTTTGGGTGACTACTTGATATTTTGACTTCATTAATTTACTAAAAAGGTTTTTGAAAATTTTACTAAAGACCACTGTTTTTGTTTTGGCTGTTGTTTTTAAATTTATTATATATGATGTCTGTAGTCATTTCTATGAAAATGTTGGCATTAAGTCTTTTAATCAGGCACAGTCTGCCACCATAATATTCTTTTAATGGGAAATCAAGTAGGAATGGATCATTGTGACTTTTCTAGGAATGGAGACCACTGAAAATGAGACAAAAACTAGTGTGCATAAACACATTACAGTATGGGTGTGGATGTTCACACTATGAATGCAATGAGAGGATCTCTAATCACTATAGATGGTGCTTTGCATGTTATGTTTTCAGTCTGGGTACAGCTGGCATCTTCTTAACAAAAGGAATTAATCACTTCTGTCTGGAATCATTCTCAGAACCCTCAACCCTGCATCCTACATCCTGGGCTTGCACTGCAAGTTACATGATCCCTGAGCTAACCACTTTGGCTTGAATCCCTGGTAGGAGAAAGAGAGAGCAACTAGTTCAGACACAACCATCCAGTTCAGCTTTGCTACTGCTTAATTCTTTTTTCTCCCTATAATCCTTTTTTTGACTGTTACATTTGTCCTAATAGCATGTTTAGGACACGCCCGTTGGCTCTCGAGATTCATGGGACAGCAATGCAGCAAAGCTAGACATAGTATTTGCTCTCTCTAGCCCTGCCCTTTGTCCTGTCCAGTGAATATCAAAACAGGTAGAAAACATGGCCCAAGGGATTGTCTCTGCCACCACCTCCATACACATTTTACCAGTAGTCCTGTCACACAGGTTGAATTAGTTTATGTAGAACAAGTCATGAACACTTTAGTGTGGAAAAATAGTATTATATAAAGCTTAATATTAAACATGAAAAATACATATTTACAGAGGAAACTATAAAATACAACTATGTACAATATCTGTTACCTTTAAATTATATAAAATTTTAAACATTCTCCAGATTAATAAATTATACATAGTATCAACAGAAATAGCTGGCACCTCTGTAGGGCATGAAGCAAGTTTTTAAAAACAAATCACACAGTGAATAATTTTTATCCAGGAGCTCTTCAGGTACATTCTCAATGCCTTGAATAGACTGGATCTGAAAGGAAGAACACTGTAATTAGAGACTGCCGCAGGGTGTGTCATAATTGTTTGTTCTGTTTATGAAAATTACCAATGTGAAAGACCAGCAGAAATACATAGCTCAACCTAGTTTAAGATGAGGCCATGCCTACTGGGACCAGGTCATTCCATTTAGAAACACAGAATATTAGACTTGGAAGGGACTAGTGATTCTAGTCCATCACCTCTGTTTTTATGGATGCAGCCATAGGCCCAGAGAGTCAGAGTAACTTACTCAGGGTTACACAGCTTGTTAAAGCTAGTTAGTTTGAGAGTTTGGACCTGAATCTTAGCCTTCAGGTACCTGGTGGTTATCCTTTTCTATACCATAGTTAGCTTCTTTCAGGAGTGCCCAAGGTTACTCTGAAAAAAGATTCTCAAGTCAAAACAAGACAGAGGAACCTCCAAGATCCCTCAGAACTTGCTCTATACTGAAGCCTCTTAAGGAATCTCCCATGCAAAAACCTTAATTTACTATACAGATTAACTGGGGGGTAATTATTTTAGTACAAAAGAATTATCTGATTTACAAAGGACTCCTCTAAATAGTAGCTCTTTATTTGTGCTTTACAGATTGTTAACTCATTAACATACTGGCTAGGCTGGGTGGTACAGAGAACTAAGTAAAAGGTTAGGAGACACTGCCAATTGAAGATCATTTAGAAACAGAGATAAGAGGGTATGAAATGTTTGTCAAAGTAAGATTATCTGATTTATAGAGATATCAGTCCACATGGCAAGGAATTGCAGCTGCATCTGCCCACAGCCATGTGAGCAAGCCATTGTGAAGTGACTCCTCCAGCCCCAGTCAAACCTTCAGATAATGGCAGCCCCCTTGTAAGGCTTGACTGCAACCTCCTGAAAGACTCTGGGCCAGAACCACCAGTGAGATAATAAATGCTGATTTAAACTGCTAAATGTTGGGGTAATTTGTTAGGCAGTAACAGATAGCTAATACAATCCTCCTTCACATTTGCAATTAGCCTATGTGATAACTTAGGTCTTCATGATGGCCTAGAGTTAAGACGAGGCATGAGGACCCTTCTCTTGTCACGTAATAATTGCTTGATCAAAACTGTGCCTTGTGAGGTTTTTTCTATTGAATTTCCCATTTGAAAAGTGTTACATCCTTATTCTAGAACATTTATGAAATACAAAAGAAGGAAAAATAGATTTTTCTAATGTTCAGGGAGATTTATATTTTCTCCCATTCTTCTTTTTCCTTATGCATTATTTTTGTTTGTTTTATGTCCTGTTTTCTTTATTTATAATAAATACCCATGTTATTATAATGTCCTCAAAAATAGCATTCTTTTTGGTTGTTTGTTTTTTGAGATGGAGTCTTGCTTTTTTATTTATAATAAATACCCATGTTATTATAATGTCCTCAAAAATAGCATTCTTTTTGGTTGTTTGTTTTTTGAGATGGAGTCTTGCTTTGTGGCCCAGGCTGGAGTGCACTGGCATGATCTTGACTCACTGCAACCTCCACCTCTCAGGTTCAAGCAATTCTCCTGCCTCAGCCCCCTAAGTAGCTGGAACTACAGGTGCACATCACCACGTCCAGCTAATTTTTGTATTTTAGTAGACATGGGGTTTCGCCATGTTGGCCAGGATGGTCTTGAGCTCCTGACGTCAGCTGATCACCTGCCTTGGCCTTCCAAAGTGCTGGGATTACAGGCGTGAGCCACTATGCCCAACCTGTTTGTTTGTTTGTTTTTGAGATACAGTCTTGCTCTGTCACCCAGGTGAAGTGCAGAGGCACAATTATAGCTCACTGCAGGCTTCAACTCCTGGGCTCAAGTGATTCTCCTGCCTCAGCGTCCCAAGTAGCTGGGACTACAGGAGCATACCACGCCTGGTTAATTTTTAAATTTATTGTAGAGAAGGGGCCTCACTTTGCTGCCCAGGCTTGTCAAACTTTTTAACTACGAAAAGCTTCATGCATAATACTTTTTTTTTCATATGTAGGGTGGTAGGAGAAATACAGGGTCACAAGATAAGAACATATGAAGGACCCCAATACCTTGATTGCCAAATTCTTTTCCAAAGGGATTTTACAACTTGAACTAGTTGTGATTTCAAAGCATCCTGCCCAGTAGTGAAGCTTATTGCTTGGAAAAGAAAGGCTAAGCAGAGTCCTTCATAGCAGCATCCTCTGCTAGGCTGGAAGAGATACCTTGTGAAACTGCTGCTCAGCTGCAGGAACCCCCTCCCCACCCTCCCTCTCTTCCCTGTTGCCACTCTTTGTGTCTAGGAGAAGAAATGGGTGGTGTACATTGGAAGAGCTTTAAGTTATTAATGGTTTCCAGAATATTTTTCTTTTTTTTCTTTTTTCTCTTTTCTTCTCTCCTCCTCTCCTTTCTCTTCGTTTCTTTTTCTTTCTTTCTTTCTTTCTTTTTTTTTTGAGACAAAGTCTTACTCTTGTTGCCCAGTCTGGAGTGCAGTGGCAGGATCTCGGCCCACTGCAACCTCTGCCTCCTGGGTTCAAGCAGTTCTGCCTCAGCCTCCTGAGTAGCTGGGATTACAGGTATGAGCCACCATGCCTGGCTCTTTTGTATTTTTAGTAGAGATGGGGGTTTCACCATGTTGGCCAGGCTGGTCTCAAACTCCTGACTTCAGGTGATCTGCCTGCCTTGGCCTCCCAAAGTGCTGGTATTGTAGGCATGAGCCACTGCACCCAGCTAGAATCTTTCTCTTTTTTCTTTGAGACAGGATCTTGCTCTGTCACTCAGGCTAGAGTGCAGTGGTATGATCTTAGCTCAATGCAGCCTTGACCACCCGAGCTCAAGCGATCCTCCCCCTCAGCCTCCCAAGTAACTGGGACTATGGGCATGTGCCATGATGTCTGTCTGTCTTTTTTTTTTTTTTTTTTTTTTTTTTTTTTTTTAGTTATTTGTAGAGACGGGATCTCCCTATGTTGCCCAGGCTGGTTTCAAACTCTTAGGCTCAAGTGATCATCCTGCCTCAGCCTGCCAAAGTGCTGGGATTACAGGTGTAAGCCTCTGTGCCTGGCCAGATTGACCATATCTTGATGAAGGAACTTGGAAGTGAGTAAAGGAAGTGCCTACCTCTGTGATACTCTGGATTCACATTTTCATAGATTGGAAACAAGGGGTTTTCTTGTTCACTCCGTAGCTTCCTTGCTCTGAGGACATCTCTTACACACTGATGTAGGTAGACATACTGACACTGTGGAAAAGCAGAAACATGTCAGAGGAGAGCCTGTTCTCATGCACGAGAAAGATGAGAAACTCTCACAAACTATTGACAATAATGGAATTCTATATAGTTAGCAAATTTCTTGATCATCACTAACGGTCTCTGGTAAATAAAAGAATGTCTTTTACTACCACTGAAAAGAGAACAGTGATAATGGGCAGAGAGGTGGCATTTTTCATTCTTATTATATTTATGTGTATATATGTATATTTGTGTATATATTTATGTATATGTATTTATGTGTATATGTGTGTGTGTGTATATAGTATGTTCTGTGAGAGCCTACAACTGTGTCTAGTACATAGTAGATCCTTCACAAATTCAGTAGATGAACGAACGCCAGACACTGCTATGTAGCTTACATAAATTATCTCATTTAATGATTTCAGCAACCTTGTGAAGTAAATATAATTGTCAGTATAAACTGAGACTCAAAAGTAACTTCTCCAAGGTCACACAGCTAAGATATGGGGCTCCAGGATTTGATCTTGGAGATGTGACCTCAAAGTCATGTCTTTTTCAATACACCAGTTTTCTTATATGAATCCCAATTTCATTGCATTACTGAATGAGAAAATCATTTCTCTGCATACTCTGCTGGTTTGTTCCCTTTATTCTAGGAACATAGTGAACAAAGGAAGGTGTGTACAATAAGCCCCGCTGGACTGTTAGTTCTTTGAGTGCAAGGCCAGTGTCTTATCCACCTCTGTTCTCTCAGCATCTGAGTTTGCCACGTGGAAGAATCTCAAAGATGTTGGCTGACTGCAGAGAACTGCAAAGGTTACATAGTGAGGACAGATCCACCTGTTGGCTATTTGAGAATTTACTATTTTTGAAATATAAATAGATATAGAAGAGTCAGTGCTTTGGTGACCATAAAGACCTCCACTGACCACTGTGTCTCAGCCACAGGCAGCCAAGCTTGTGCATTGGGCCCCCTTCCTTATAATCCCTGAGTTCTCTTACAAGGAAATGGATTTCTGCGGAACTTTCCCTTGCTGATATAGCAACGGCCCAGAGGGAGTCATGAATTGTGGGCTCTCGGCAGCCTCCAGCCAGCCTAGGCTGAGCCATCAGGCTTCTTGGGATCCCAGTTTTCCTACTTAATAAACAAGGAGGCAAAGGTCTCTTTTATAGCCAACATCCTTTGTCCATTAAAGGATATAGATTGATGTCAGTCAGATGGATATTGAAAAATATTTCCAGACCTTGTGTTTAAGGCAATCAGTGTAGTCAGTCTTAAAGTATTTTAGAGGTTTGAGACACAAAGTAGAACAATTAGGTCTTTCCTCACTAACAATCTTTCCAAGTAAACAGGTACTTATTTTTATGGTTTGGCACTTGATTGGAAGCTAGCCTGGTCATCTATCCATGGGACTATATAAGGTAGGTCTGGTATAATCAATAGATAAGAACATTTAATTTTTTTTTTTTTTTTTTAAGGAGACGGGGTCTTGTTCTGTCGCCTAAGCTGGAGTACAGTGACACAACCATAGCTCACTGCAGCTTTGAACTCCTGGTCTTCAGTGATTCTCACACCTCAGTCTCCTGAGTATCTGGGATTATAGGTATGGACCATCAGGCCTAGATAAATTAAAAAAAAATTTTTTTAGAGACAGGGTCTTGCTCTGTTGCCCAGGCTGGTCTGAAACTCCTGGCCTCAAGCCATGTTCCTCCTTTGGCCTCCCACAGTGCTAGGATTACAGGTGTGAGCCACTGTCCCCAGCCTAGAAAAGGACATTTTAAACAACCAGATCAACAAGAAGTGAGGCCTGCAATAATACTGATAACTATTCTCTGCTCACAGACCTTTGTCATTTATTATGAATGTTATATGCAGTCTCAATCTTGAAAATCTGAGAAAGGTATCTGAGAATGCTTGTTAGTATAAAGCAGTGTCTTTTCGCTACCTTAAAAAGGATCCACCAAATTATAGACTGAAACCTCCCTGTTCCCTCCCACCCAAAGCATTATTCGTTTTTTCACTTCTACTGGGATATTAAATTACTTTGGGACCTTAGAGGTAAGCTGTGAATGAACTCTAGTACATCTGTGCTGTGGCCTATTAATAAATTCTTTAACAATGATTCACCATGGGCTTTGAAACAAGTTAATATCCATTAATTTGCCTTGTCTTAAATATAAATTCTTCTTTTCCCAATAGAATGTCTCTTTGAAAATGATTACTCTAAAACGGTGAGATTGTTAATGTGCTTCTCACTTTATTCTTAATGAAAAGTAGACAAAGCCTAATATATGAATCTCAGATCACAAAAGATAATTTTTTGTTAACTGGTGAAGGCTTGGCTTAGTGTTGACACATTCAATTCCATTCAATTTCATCAATATTTGGAGTATTAGATATTATTGATAGGATTATAGTCTTTTTGTGATCCCTGAGTGCATGGCTTAGTATTTAGTGAACAAACACCTATAAGATGATAAACGTAAGATACAATTGTGTATAAGGTTTCATACAGAAGAAAAAGCCATTAGGTTCATTTTGAGGGGAGGAAATTATCAAGCTAAAGAGAAAAGGTGATATTTATAAGAATTCAAGCAAAGAAGTAAGGCAACATAACATAACATTTCACATATATTCTGGAAATCGTGAGAAGTCTAGTGCAGCTAAAATGCTGGTTGCGTGGGTCATGGGAAACCCCTCGAACAATGCCCCAAATGGAACCTGAGGTCCTTAGTCCTACAACATCTCAGTGTTTCCTTCCCAGCAGAAGCAAATGAGATCGAGACTGTGACTATCATCTATTGTTCTTTAACAGGTTATTGCTCCCTGAGTGTCTCTCTTAGGGTCAGGCTGCAAATTTTCCTCAAAGCAGCGTAAAAGAAGAAGGGACACTCATAAATCCCCTGACCGATGCCTCTTCGTTTAGAAATGCTTGCTGTTTGAAAACTTGTGAAGACCTGCATCCCTTTGTATCTCAAATAAAGACAGAGGTAAGTTGAAGTTCACTGTCACCATGGACTCAGAAAAATAATACAAGGGGTCCAAATGTCCTCTGTCTTTTGCTGAAATAGTCACCCACAGGGGTTCAGCCACAGATTACATTCCTCTGCACCCACTCCCATTACCAGATGCAAGCTCTAGCACCAGGGATTCTGAGCCTGTAGAAACAACTCAACTTCAGCAGACGCTTAAAGCAAGGCAGATGATACTAGGTTGATGCAAAAGTAATCATGGTTTATGCAATTAAATGCCATTAAATGAAATTTATGCATTTAAATGCCATTAAAATGCAGTTAATGGCATTAAAAGTAATGGCAAAAACCATGATTACTTTTGCACCAACCTAATACCTGGATAGCATTTGGAATTTTGTGTGATTGAGAAAAAAGGGAGAGATAGAAAATTTTTTCTTACTGCAATGTTTATTTCATTGTGATGGAAAGACTGAAAGTGGATTCTGGCCCAGGTGGGTAAACCTTCCTTAATTTGGCAGACCCTAATCACTGGTGGTGGCTAGTACAATGACATGAAGCTGGAGGAGTAAGTTGGGGCCAGGTTATAAAGAGGCTTGTACCCAGGATGAGGTTTGAACTTCATTTTACAAGCAGTGGTGAGCTTTTCATGATTTTTTTGCAGGGAGCTGACAGAGTCAGCAAGGGAACTTTGATGGTGGCAGTGGTGATGAAGGGATCATTAGGGCAGAACTGAAGGCAGGAGACCCACTAGGAGGCTACTTATTAGCAGGGCTAATGAGAGTTGATAAAGGACTGTGCAAGGGCAGTGGCAGTGGGATGAGGGGCTGGCTCCCAGGGAAGGAAAGGACTTCGTGACTGCTTGAATGTGGAAACTGGAGGAAAAGAAATCCACGCCATTGAGCCCAGGAGTTTGAGTCTAGCATGGTTAACATAGTGAGATCTTGTCTCACCACATAAATAAACAAACAAAAAATAGAAATAATAAATAAATGCACATATCCATGCATGTAAGCATGCCAGGTGTGGTGGTGCACAACTGTAGAAGATTGCTTGAGCACAGAGTTTGAGTCCAGTCTGGACAACATAATGAGACCCCATCCCTTAAAAAATATAAGAAGTCAGCTCCCTGGCTTGGGCAAACACATGGATGGTGATACTATTAAATGAAACTGGAAGGTGCAAGAGCAGGAGGAATGTTTTTGTTGTTTTGTTTGGTTTTTTGAAAGAAAGAGAATGAGTTTGGCTTTGATCTTTTTGAAGTTAGATGGCTGTAAGGCTTCTGGGGGAATCCATCTGGTAGGCAGGCACTTACAGGTATGTGGAGACAGGAGAATTAGAGTTGGGTAACATGAGTATGTATGGGAATGGAGAATATCACAAAGAATGAAGACTGAGAGAAAGGGTGGTGCCTTGAGGACAGAACCTTGGGGAACTCAAACATTAAGAAGACAAGCTGAGGCACTAAGCCACAGCATCCTCAGTGAGGAAGGAGGAAAAGGAGAACAGAACAGGGAAAAGATGGAGTTATTTCTAAGGAGAAGGAGGAAGCGGAACATTGTGTTACCTCTGCTCTGAAAGTCAGCCAGTTATATTGACAGTAGAGTCCCTCCTAGTTGCCAAAATGCATCATGAGTTTGGGGCAGGTGTATGGAAGTGATACATGGCCCAAGGATCCTCTGACAATTACTAGAGCACGCGCACACACACAGACACACATAAATACACACAGTTTGAGACTATTTACAATATAACCTCCTCTTCCCCAAGTTACAAATTGTGAAAGTGACAGTAAACTAACAAAATATTAATGCTGACTTTTTAGCAACATAAGTGTAGGATATTTGTTCATTTAAAAGATTAAAAAATATTGAGGATCTAGAGAAGGAAAACAGGTTCCCATCCTCTAGGAATGTATAGTTTGGAGAAAGCTGAAGGTTAATAATTATGATACAGGGTAATATAATTCTGCAGCCTTTGATGAAATGACAGAGCTAGGCGGAGGTCATCAGTGACTGCTAAAACCATTAAGTGAAAGGTTGATGGGGATAATGAAGGGTTCAGGCTGACACTCCCTGAACTCATCGTCAGTTTTCTCAGTGCTGAAAGAGAGACAGACATGGTGATCTGCCTTCTGATGTCATGCAACAGAAAGCCCTCAGCACCACCCATGAAGCATTGAGTTTAATCAGGCCTCCAGATCTAACCACCAGCTGACAAAATCCATGGGGAGTAAAGGAATACATTACCACCATGAAAAAGCAATCAGCCACATCTAGAATGTGGGAAAATCTACCGAACAAATGAGCTGGCTTCTTTAACAAATAAATGTCATAGAAAACAAATGGGAGGGAGGATTATAGATTAAAAAATATTTCAGAGACACTTCAACCAAATGAAATATGTAAACTCTGGATTCTAATGAAAGCCAACCATAGCTTTTTTATAAAAAGTAATTTTTTTTGAGATAATTAGGGAAATTTAAATACTGACTGGATATTAGATGATATTTAGGAATTATGGTTAAGACACAGATGTGATAATGACATTGTGGTCATAATTTTAAAGACTCCTTATCAAATATATGTATACATATATATATACACACATGTTCACACGTACACACACATATATACCCATATGTATATATGCAATATATGTAATATCACATATATCCATACAAATGTACACATATACACATGCACATATATGCACACATACATGTACACACATATGCAATATGACATTACATGTGTACATGGGTACACATACATATGTATATACATGTATATGTGTATTTAAGGATGAAATAATGTGGTAAGTGGGATTTGCTTTAAAATATTTCAATGGTGTAATGCCATGGGGTAGGGGAACATTAAATGTGGGATAGAGATGGGAAAAGAACACAGAATACTGATAATTGTAGAAGCTGGGGTTTGGGTACATGGAAACTCACATACTATTTTTCCTAGTTTTGTGTATTTTCTTTTTAAAAATTTTTTGTGGAGATGGGCTCTTGCCATGTGGCCCAGGCTGGTGTCCAACTCCTGGCCTCAAGTGATCTGCCCCTGCTGGGCCTCCCAAAGCATTGGGATTACAGGCATGAGCCACTGTACCCAGCCATGTTTGGTGTATTTTTTTAAAACAATTTCATAATAAAACATTCAAAATATGGTGGAATCATTGTTATAATGAAAGTACTCCCAGCCCAGGACAATAGTGGTGGCAGAGGATCCTGCCTGCAGGAGGCAATGATGCCATTGTTTTGCCAAATGTGAGTTCTGCAGGATATTTTTAATTTTTATTTTAATTTCTCTGGTTCAATTGTTGCTGGCTTGAATGCAGGATATTAATATGTGCTGCACAAGAAAAGAATTCAGAGGTCAAGATGGTTTTGGAAGTAGTGGGTTCAACAAAGCTCAAAGCGGGGCCATGGCTGCAGGAGGGCTCTCTTTTTGTGGAGCACTGCTGTCTGTGCAGTGTCCTTGGGTACTGTGACTCTAAGAGGGGACACAGAAGCATGTAGAACTTTTAACTTTTCCAACCATGGATTTTTTTTTTTTTTAAATACATAGTTGTAGAAAAATTTGTGAAACACGAGGGTAGGAGAACTTCAGCCTTGGAAGGCATTGATGCAGAGGAGTGAATGCTTGGTCTCTATTGAGGAAGAGATCTGACCCTGAGGCTAGTACACTTATAGCACACTCAAGGGCCCAGGGTTCTCTAGAATAGTGCCCAAGCCACCTCAGCCACTTCATGGCTGTGGGCTTTGTGCAAAGCCCTTAAGCTTATGGACCTTCATTTTCTGGTCTGGAAATGGAATATAATATGTCTCGCCAGGTTATTGTGAAAATTTAATGAGAACGTGTTCAAAAATGCCCTGCAAATGTCAAAGTGCTGCACAGATGGAAGCATGTGGTCTTTACAATCTACATACACTCCCGAAATGGGGCTGTAGGTGGAGGGAGTGGGGCTGGGGGAGAGAAGAGATTGGGATCTTCTTTCCTAACTGAGGTTCTTATGCTTGTTTGCCAGCCTATCTTAAAATGAGCCTCAAGATGCACCTTCAAGACCAGTGAGATTTGCTTTAAAATAACAAGTCTTAGAAAATATCTATGTTCAGTTCTTTTTTTCTCTTCCTAATGTGTCATAGTTATTTCCGCTTGTCAGATTAAAGTCTGGATATTTTTTTTTGTGGGAATATAGTGGGGAGGAGGGTGGCCTATAACTTTCAGTCTATAACTCTTACCTCAGTCTGGACCATGTGAACCCTGTGAAGTCTTAGGTCATGCACTGCTCCGTAAATGTCCACAGAGTCTTTGGAGTCTAACTGCTGGAGGATTCGGTCCAATGCAATAAAGGTTCCAGTCCTACCCACACCAGCACTAGAAGAGATGGCAAAGGAAGATTGAGCCTTTTTATTAAATTTGCCTTTCAAGATTGCATCTGGAGACTCTGGCACAATCTTTCTTTTCCCTTCCCAGTTATGGGAGAAGATAGGAATATTTCCTTCTCTCAGTGTGCTCTTTTTCTCTTAAACAAGTTTAACCTAGAGTCCCCCAATCCCACCTCCGCACAGTCTTCCATCTCCATTCCCTTCCTGTCCGTCCTCCACCATAAGTCCTGCTCTGCACTTACTAGGTATCATTTCCACGCATGTTTTTAATACTTTTCCTACATACAGGTAAATCTATAAACAACATTTATGTTTCAAAAATCTACTGAAACAGTAATATACATGCTTTATGTATCTTTTTGTCAACTTTCCTACTCAATATTTTCAGATTTATCTGTATTACTACATATAGATCTTCTTCCCTCCCCTCCCCTCCCTGAGTCTTGCTCTGTTGCCCAGACTGGAATGCAGTGGCACAAGCGTAGCTCACTGCAGCCTCCACCTCCCAGGCTCAAGCAATCCTCTCACCTCAGCCTCCTGAGTAGCTGGGACCACAGGCGCATATAACTACTCCCAGCTAATTAAAAAAGATTTGTAGAGATAAGATCTCCCTAATAGTTGCCCAACCTGGTCTCGAACTCCTGGCCTCAAGTGATCCTCCCACTTTGGCCCCCAAAGTGCTGGGATTACAGGCAGGATATACCACACCCAGCTGATCTAATTTCTTTTAATTCTCTCATAAACCACTGCTAATCCAGTGGTAATAAGATCATTTAAAATTTTTCTCTATTAAAACGTGTTGCAATGAACATGAATATATGTGGAGATTTCTCAGGGGTCGAAACCTAGAAGCAGAACTCTTGGGTTGCTCATGGGCACGAACACCTTCAACTTCACTAGGCATTGCCAAATTGCTCCCCAAAATGGTTGTATCATCTGGGGATTTTTGATATGCACATTTATAAGATAAAGGACAGTTCTCCAGTGGTCCTAGACAAAAATGCCTGCCATTTTTCAAAAAGCAGAAAGCTCTGAGGTGAGTGCCTCACCTTCCTATTAAAAGTGTCAAGGTTCCAAGAACATAGGAAAGCCGGGCTCCTAGGGTGCTGGGCTGACAGGAGGGAGATGAGTACACTTGGCATTTCTCTTACTGCTGTAATTCCCTGCTCCATATTTATTAGTGCCATTCAGTTAGGGCTATCAAAGTGTTGCTGCAAACATTAATTAGCTAAATACCAGGCTCCCCAGAGAGAGAGATTTCACTTGTTAGGTTGATTTTCTGGACAGACTGAAGCAAAGAGAAATCAAGAGAACAGAAACTTAAGAGAAAAAATTAGGTGCTACAGATGGCAATTGCTATGCTGTGGTTTGAATGTTTGTGTCCCCTCCAAAAATTCATGTTGAAACTTAATCTTCAGTGCAACAGTATTAAGAGGTGGAGGAGGTGATTAGGTCGAGGGAACTAGCTAGGTCCTTTTGCCCTTCCATCCCTCCCTCTATGTGAGGACACAGCCTTTGTCTGCTCTGGAGGACACAGTGACAAGGCACTATCTTGGAAGCAGAGACCAAGCTCTCAACAGACACTGAACCTGCCAGTGCCTTGATTTTGGACTTCCTAGCCTCTAGACTGTGATAAATAAATTTCTATTATTTGTTATCCAGTCTGTGGTATTTTGTTTTAGCAGCACAAATAGACAAAGACATGCTACTAGACCTGGAGGGAAGATTAGAAAATAAATCTTGAAGGATAGGTAGGACTTAGGTGGAGAAGAGAGACAAAGCCATCCCAAAATGGAAGAATGACCAGAGGCAAGAATAAGCTTGTGTGCTCACTTTCCTGGCTAGAATGGGAAGGGAGTTGTTGGGAACTTAGATTGAAGGTGATATGCCTGATGATGGAAAGCATGGAATTCCCATCAGGACTTTGGATTTCAGAAAGTAGGAAAAGAGCAAGAGGGAGAGAGAAGGCTGGAGAGTGAGGGTGAGAGAGAGCTGCAGTGGGAGAAAGTGAAAAAGGAGAAGTCAGGGAAGAGGAATGACGTTGGCTGAAGGGGAGGAACGTTATAAAACCCTGTGGGGGTGAGGCAGGCTGGTTGGTCCAGACAAATCCTCCACCTACCAAATTTCCCATGCTTACATATTTTTCCACAACCCCCTTATGGCTGCCATTTTATTGGCTGCTAGGCGTCCCAGTACCTGCAGTGCACCACAGTGGGCCCGGCACCTGGGCTTCGGTTGATGTAGTCCCTGACAGTTCTCACAAACTGGATCAGAGACTGGGTGGTTTCTGGGACTCCATGGTCTGGCCACACTGTATAGTGAAAGTGGCGGATGAGTCTGTGTGCATCAAGCTGTTCCTCCTGTAAGACCAGAGAGCAGGATAATAAGAGGAAATGTCCAGTGCAAATCTTCAAGCTTGACAACTGAGCCATGGAACAATTCCTCTGGGCTGGGCTGAAACTACAAGAGAGGAACCAGCAAAAGTGGGATTCACAGATTTCGTTCATCTCCCCAAGCTCAGTTGTTAAATGAAGTCAAGCAAGCTAACATACACTGCATATCTTAAACTCCCGGATGGTCCACTCAGGCAGGACGGACTCTGAGAGCATCTGCAGGATGAGGTCCCCATAGTAGAGGGAATCTTGGTCCGCTGGCCAGTAATGGTCACACTTTACCTAGAACAGGACAGACAGAAAAAACGTGAGTCCGGAAAAGTTACTCCTTTGTGAACCTGTGGTTTCCCTCCTCCAGATGTCTTCCTGAGTTAGGAATCTGGGATCAGCTGCTAAAGCAATTTGACCATCTACTTTATATTAACCTTCTCATGGCCAGTGCTGAAGCTGAGGTGCTGCTCCAAGTGAAGGGGAGGGCCTGCACAAGGAACGCCAATAACGCCAGCCTTTGGGTTCACTCATTGTTTTAGGCCCAGTGATATATGGCTTGAGGTTTGTTTTTTTTTTTTTCCCCCCCTTGGCATTTCAGTTCCACTACCAGGTAAACCGTGGTTCACAATTTATTGTTCTTTCTAAAGAAATACCTAGTTGGGTACAGGAAGGCACTGTCTTCCTGGCCCTGCTTCATTCATATTTTTATGTCACTGTCCTAACGTGGGCCATGTGCCAAGAGATCTTTGAGACGTTAGAACATTTAGCTAAGCTCGTCTTTACATGTACACAGACAAGGGAAAGAGGATTGTAAGCATATATTTACTGAGCGCAGATACTGGGCACTTCACATGTAATCCTTTTTTTTTTTTTTTTGAGATGGAGTCTCGCTCTGTCACCCAGGCTGGAGTCCAGTGGCGTGATCTGGGCTCACTGCAAGCTCTGCCTCCTGGGTTCATGCCATTCTCCTGCCTCAGCCTCCCGAGTAGCTGGGACTATAGGCGCCTGCCACCACGCCCGGCTAAGTTTTTTTGCTGATCTCCTGCTTTCACCTGAGAGATCTCCTGACCTCGTGATCCACCCCTTCAGCCTCCCAAAGTCCTGGGATTGCAGGCGTGAGCTACTGCGCCCGGCTGTAATCTCTCTTTTAATCCTCAAAATAACCATATAAAGTGCAGGATGATAAGTGCATTACAAGGGGGGTTGCTTAATTTGTCTCGATTATTCTTTTACTTTGTGTCTACCAGCACAGTCTACAACTCACTTCTCCCTTCCTGGGAGGAGGGGCAGGTCCAGTGACTCTGACTGGGTCTCTCCCCCAGCCATACACTGAAGAATGGATTGGCCAAGTGGCCAGGTAATCTTTTGGTGTAATGGGCACTGCCAATAATCCCAGTCCTCAAATGGAAACAGCTTTGACTGGAACTTTAGACCCAGAATCAGAATGAGGCCTCACTTGGGTTTACTATTAGAGTCGTTTCAACAGAGTGGCGTAAGTCACTAACAATGTTCTCACATGATCCCTACTTGGTTTTGCGGGGTTGCACTTTGATGATGGGGCAGAATTCTGTCCAGGTGGCAGAAAGCAAAGCTTGGATGGCAGGAAGGCTGTTTACTTACTCGGCCCTTCTCAACACACTGGGTCACCATGACGATGTTGTGAACGTTTTGTTCCCACACCATTTTCCAGAAGTCATCCTTGGTGCCAGGAAGTGGTCCCTGAGTGACAATGTATTCTCTTCTGAAGTTGTTGCCCTGCAATGAATTTACAATATGGAGAGTCAGAAACAATGGGCCTCTTCAGAACTATAAACAAAGAGTTCTTCAGATGAGATGATAGGGAGGTCTCTGCCAAGTCTCTGACTTCAGAAAAAGATACTAACACAAGTGTCAAGGCTTGGGAGCAGGAAGGACAGAGGTCAGAACATTGAACTAGTGTTAAGAGCCACATTCCCTTTTACTTGCCTGGGTCTATTCTGAAAGCAAATGGGGGACTCAGGCACTGATCTAGACAACACTTCACCCTCAATTATATGTGTGTGTCAGGGGTGCATTTGTGTAGACTGTCTGAGGGACTGTAATCAGGCTCTTTCCCTATTTAATGTAGAAAAGTGTTAGTCAGTTTGGACAATCAATGTCAGAATCATTTGGTAAGGTAGGTCATCCACAGGAAGCATCACGGAAGAGAAACCACTGTCAACTGCGCGTCTACCATCTAATGGACTTATTTAATCCAAAGCACTGTCCAAGAGCGGGATATTTTCATCTCCTTCTGCACTCCAGCAATGACAGCAATTCCTTGTCGATTCTATTCGAAGCTCTTTCTCTTTCCTCAGGGTCTCCACATTATGTCACCCCTGCCATCGCCACCCCCACCCACGCAAACACTGCCTCTCATCTAACCAATCCTTACTTATCCTCAGCGTGGTGCCTGCTTGGCTGAGCCATCTTTTATCTTTCTCTCTGCTGGGGGACATTCTCCTCCTAGATGCCCCATGGCAACCTCTAGCCTCTTGCTGCTGAGTGCGGTTCTCAGACCAGCAGCACTGAAATCACCCAGAGGCTTGTTAGAAATGCAGACTCAGCCAGGTGCAGTGGCTCACGCCTGTAATCCCCACACTGTGGGAGGCCGAGGCGGGCGGATCATGAGGTCAGGAGATTGAGACCATCCTGGCTAACACGGTGAAAACCCATCTCTACTAAAAATACAAAAAAATTAGCCGGGCGAGGTGGCGGGCGCCTGTAGTCCCAGCTACTCAGGAGGATGAGGCAGGAGAATGGCGTGAACCCCGGAGGCAGAGCTTGCAGTGAGCAGAGATTGTGCCACTGCACTCCAGCCTGGGCGACAGAGCGAGACTGCATCTCAAAAAAAAAAAAAAGAAATGTAGACTCCCAGGCCCTGCCTCAGCCCTGCTGGATCAGAATCTGCCTTTTCACAAGATTCCCCAGATGATGCAGACATCTTTCAATGTAGGAGAGGCACTGCTGTGGCAGGTTTCTCATGCCATTGTCTTTTTCTGCCTCAACTCTTCTGAGAGTGCTTTTAGGGTTGGGATTCCATCTTATCCCATGCCTGTAAACAGCTCAGTGTTTGACTTACAGTTAGCACTTAATTTCTAAGTGTTTATTGAGTGAGTGGATGGTTGCTTGAGGTAAATATTATTATCTTCCGTTTTTGGAAAAGAAAATGGAGGCCCAAAAAGGTGACATAATGTACCCAAGGTCACAGAGTCAACAAGGGGCAGAAGTGGGATTCAAACCTAGATTTGTTTGATCTGAAAGCTTTTTCCACTGCAGTGTGCTGTAGGAAGGTGGCAAGATGCTAACCAAAACCAGAGCCCAAAGATTTGATATAACCTTTGAGTTGTGTCTGTGGTTATGAAGATTCCAAATAACATGGGATCAACTTCTCTAGCTAGGCAGCTTTAGCGGGGAGGGGTGGGGGGGGGTCCATCTTCCTTAGGAAGCTCTCATCTAGGTTAAGGACTACAGAGAGTAGATGACCTATGAAAATGGATCCTGGGCTCATTATAATTTCATTTGACTAGAGCCATTGTGAAAAATGTGGCTTAGCAGGAACTGAATTGGATACCCTGTTTTTTTTTGTTTTTTTTTTATGGCATTCAGATGTGCTCTTCTGAAATCTACAAGTGTTTCCAAAGCTAAGAATAACGGGAACATGCAGGAGTGGCATCTCCTGTGTAGCCACCCACCAAAGCCTCATCCCGAACACTGGCCTAGTGGGTCACTTACAGGGATGTAGCTGGCATTGATGTAGTCAGAGCAAGGATCATCATCTACATTGGACAGCTTCACTCGTGTGGCATCATCTGGAAGGAGAGATTTGCCGCTGAGTCTTGGAGTGATTTTTCTACAGTTTATGTAATGTGTGTGATGTGCCTTAGCTCTGATCCCCACAACAGCCTCAGATGGGAGGTGATCTTATCTCCAGTTTGCAGATGAGGCTCAGACAGGATAACTAACTTGCCCCACATTGCATAGGTGGCCTATAACCAGTCAGACACAGGAGACAACGTGAAGCCCCACCTGTGCTTCCCTTTGTAACATTACGACATTTGCCTGATGGAGTGGCCACCTCCCTTTGACTGCTGGAATGAATACAATCCAGAAAACCTACCTTCTATTGCTTTACCTAATGGGGTAAGGAAATTTAAGTAGAAATTGCTAACCAAAGACTTTGCTAAGCAAACCCAGGTCTGCTTGATGTCAGAGCCCTTGCTGTTAACCCCATTTACTGCTTAGCCTCCAAAGAGAAGCAGTAGGATCACATGGGGGAAATGTCAATAGCATAACAGGCCTTTCATAATCAGAATTTAAACTGGCTATTATCCCTCTGGAGAGAAGTGCAGGAATATACAAGTTACTTCTTATTAAAGGCATTCACAGCTTGAGATTGTCCATATCCAGTTACATTATATTTCTTTAGCCCCATTTCGTTTTTGGAGAAAAATGCAGAAATGGCTGGAGAAAGACAGTATTACAAATTCTGACACAAAACTTACAGGGCAATATATTGTTGTATCGATTTTTCCCTCTATTCTCTGGCAAGAGTGCGATATCACATGACTGGTTTCGGCCCACGTCTTTTAATTCCTGTTAGGTCAAAAATAAGTTTGTAAGTGGAGGATATGAAATAGAATAAAGCAAATCATACAGTTCTGGAGATACATAATAATATGAAAATAGATACACTAGCTACTGTTTATGAATGCCTGGTATTCAACAAACATTAGCTCTGATCCCCACAACAGCCCTGCAAGGGAGGTGTTCCTCTCACTATTTTCCAGGTGAGGCTCAGACAGGATAACTGATGTGCCCCAGGTCAGCCAAGTGGCAAACCTGAGAATCAAATCCAAAAGCTACGTGCTTTCTGCAAAACCACAGTATCTCCCCGCCAAGCAAACGGCCAGGCTGATATCTGACAGCATTAGGTCTGCATTTGAGATTTGTTAATTCTTCCTTACTATCTGATCCAGGTAGCCTTTGGTTTGCTGTGTTGTTCTGGAGCTCAAGCTGGCCTCTAAGATTAGACGGTATATTGTTCAGGGCATAGTTTAGGCATAAAAGAGTGCTCAGCTGAGATTCTAAGCAGCCTCCTAACTTCTGAGCCCAATCAGTCTATGATTACACAGTAAACATTAGGAGGGAAATTCTAAGAACTAGGGATGCTGAAGCTTCATTCTGCTTGAGTTGTACCTCGTATTCCTTGGATAGAAGGTAGTTGGAGTCAGCCTGTAGCTTCATGAAATGCCCTTCAAACTGATTTATTTTTATTGGACTGTAATTAAAAATGAAACAAAAAGAAAAGAGAGTTACTGCAGAAAAGGGAAAGTGCCATAACCATTCTGACTCATATTTCAAAGGCAGATAATATAGTAATTAATGTGTTCTCTCTCTTACCAAGAAGTTTTCCGGTTACTGTGAAGGGAAACCAAAAGAAGAAGACTTGTTAGCAAATTTCACATAATACCACCTTTCAACAAATTATATGAAGGCAAATGTGGTGCTTACCCTTTCTGGCCCAGGTTTAAGTGGACAGATAATGGTCGATCCCTACGAATGCTCAGACGGGCAGAGGGTCTTTCTCGACCATGGCTGACACATAAGGGAGAGAACTTTTATTCTGATTATGATACTTGGCTTGAACAAATTTTTCCATTTATGGTAAGGCTGTGCATGTTTGTACAAATACGGATTTTTCAGTATTCATGTAGATTTGCACTCAGCCAACATCTCTCTGAGGGAGGGAAAGGAAAAAGAATAAAGTAGATCATTCCCACCCAGAAACGGATCTCTGCAAAAACTGAAGATTTGTCTCCTGGTTTTTGGCTACAGGTTATAATCACTTCCCACATTCTCAATAAAACTTTGCTTAAAAAAAATCCAGTAAATTTCAGATGCCAGACACGACTTCAATAAAGAGGAACATGTGCCAAATTAAGAAAAAAAATTCACTAAGAGAAGAAGGCACGACACTGGGGCCACATGCTATTTGGTTCTTTTTGGTCCCTTCTTAAATTAGGATGGCAGATATGGACTACAAAATGGTGATGTCAACCACACTTTTCAGGATATTTCAGAAGAGCACTTGGACATGCAATTTGCAAACATCTCTGTCTTCATAAGGATATGAACCACACACACACACAAATATTTTTTTTCCTGTGCAAAATGAGTCACTTCATCTTTAAATAAAGCTATAGATGGCCCCTCAGTCCTTTGGCAAGGGACGAATTCATCAATGGGATATAAAAGAACTGAGAAAAGTGAGTCATGGCTTTAGAGTTTGACTTTTGTTTTTATTGAGAAAACAGTGACAATTTAACCTGGAAAGATTAAATTATTTTCACTTGTTAGTTTTCAGCCTAAAGGGAATTTTCAGTTGCATTTTTAAAGTTGTGGGTCCAATCATGAAAAGGAGCTTTGTACTTACCTCACTTTCTGTCTGCAGATCAATAAGGCAACAACAGCCACTAGCATGCCAATTAAAAACAGACCAGCACTCACACCTTCAATAGCTCCAAACAAGGGCTCTACAATAATCCAGATAGAAACAACAAACGCAGGTGGGAAAATTAGTGCTAGGGAACCAGTAAGAAAGCTATTGAAGCCATATCTCCCAAGTAATGTTATTACAAATAGAATTCAAGTGATGCCCACGATGAGGCATTTACTTTCCAAAGGCTAGGAGTATGCACCTAAGAAGATGAAAGGCTGGCTCCCACCCGGTAGCAGTGAGGCCAGGTGTCACTGTATACTTTTGAAGTTAGTGGCGTATAGCTTATAGAGGTGTTTTGGACTTTGCACTTGTATATAAAGCTTGGGGGACCTAAGATAAAGGCCATAAGTTTGCCACCAAGATAAAAATGCAATTTCATTTATATAAAACATGTTACAAAGCATTTGGGGCCTTGGAAAATCCAGTGGATTGCTTGGAGCTATTTTAACAAAGTCTTATTTTTATTATCTGGTATGGTACCGCTACTGGGAGTTTATGAAGAGGTAAGAGTGGCCTCATTTTTAAAATAGCTTTATTGAAATATCATTCACATAGCATGCAGCTCACCCATCTAAATTGTACAATTCAATGGTCTTTTGTATAGTCACAGAGTTTTGCAAATGTCCCCACAATCAATTTTAAAACATTTTCATCACCCTCAAAAGAAACCATATACCTCTTAGCTGTCAGTCCCATTCCTCCCTCCTCACGATCCCTGGCAACCACTAATCTACTTTCTGTGTCTGTAGATTTGCCTATTCTGGATGTTTCATAAAAATGAAATCATAAATCTGTGATCTCTTGTGACTGGCTCTTTTAATTGAGCATAATGATTTCAAGGTTCATCCATATTATAGCATATACCAAGATTTCATTCCTTTTTATGGTTGAATAATAGTCCATTGTATGGATATATCACATTTTGTTTATCCATTCATCCATTGATGGACATTTAAATTGCTTCTGCTTTTTGGCGATTATGAATAATGCTGCATGAATATTCATGTACAAGTTTCTATGTGGACATATGTTTTCATTTCTCCTGGGTATATACTGAGGAGTGAAATTGCTGAGTCGTATGGTAACTCTAGGTTTAATATTTCTATAAACTGTTTTTCAAAGCAGCTACACCATTTTACATTCTCATAAGCGGTGTATGGAAGGTTCTGATTTCTTCATATCCTCACTCTTGTTACTGCCTTTTTGATTATAGACATGCTACTGGGTGTGAAGTGGTATCTTGTGATTTTGATTTGCATTTCCCTAATGACTTCTGATGTTGAGCATCTTTTCATGTGCTTATTAGTCAACTGTACATCTTCTTTGGAGAAATGTCTATTCAGAGCCTTTGCCCATTTAAATATTGTGTAATTTGGCTGGGCACGGTGGCTTACACCTGTAATCCCAGCACTTTGGGAGGCCGAGGCAGGTGGATCACAAGGCCAGGAGTTTGAGACCAGCCTCACCAACATGGTGAAAACTCGTCTATACTGAAAATACAAAAATTAGCTGGGCGTGGTGGTGTGTGCCTGATGTCCCAGCTACTTGGGGCGCTGAGGCAGGAGAATTGCTTGAACCTGGGAGGTGGAGGTTGCAGTGAGCCAAGGTGGCATCACTGCACTACAGCCTAGGTGACAGAGCAAGACTCCGTCTTGGGGAAAAAAATATATATATATATAAAATACTATATATACAGTGTAATTTGTGTTTCTATTATTAAATTGTGAGGTAAGAGTTCTTTATATGCTAGATATTCAGCCCTTATCAGATATGGGATTTGCAGATATTTTCTCCCAATTCTGTAGGTTGTCTTTTTACTTTGTTGATAGTGTCCTTTGAAACACAAGCTTTTTATTTTAATTAAATCCAAATTGTCTATTTTTTTTCTTTTGTAGCTTATGCTTTTGGTGTCATATCTTAAAAGCTATTTTCTAATCCAAGGTTACAAAGAGTTATACCTATGTTTTCTTGTAAAAGTGTTACTGTGTTACCCCTTAAATTTAGGTCTGTGAAGTGGCCCATGTTTGAAGTTGCATTTTAAGATCTTAGATTTGTTTGTTCCATGTTGCCTTTCAAGACTTATCAAATCAACACAATCATCTTTCCTTGAGTGTGGTTAATATCATTTTTTGAATATACATTTACTGTCTTCCTGTACTGGACTACATGCAATTTTTGTCATGTAACAATATATCAAAAAGGGAAGAATTGTGTTTACAAAGTCCCTACATTAAATTATAAGTAAAGACATCTAAATCCACTTAACTGTGTTCTCATCCCCCTTTGGCTTGAAAAGTGGGAGATTATCCCTATATTTGGCATAAATAGATTGGAATGTTTGTGAGGCTGAGTCATCTTTTGTCATGTAGCACGAGAGATGGTTTTAGCTGTAAAGAACTTCCCAGACCTAGAGATCAAGCACTGCAGAACATGGGCTACAGCAAAAGGCTGTGCAGATGATGGTGTTAAGAAATAAGGGGATGAAATGATCCTATTCTCAGCCTGGTGGAAGTATTCAGAGACAGGGCAGTGCAGAGGTTGTATGCTTGGGCAGAAAGTGCCAGAATTTCAGCTGCACCATCTTGGCCAAGTTACTTAATCTCTGGGGCTTCATGTCCTCATCTTTAATATGGGGATGATAATAGCATCCACCTCAAAAGACTGTCATGAGAATTGGACAAGTTATTCTATGTAAAATGCTTAAAACTGTGTCCCCACAGAGAAGGTGAACAATAAATACTAGCCACTATTATTACTCAGGCTTTCCCTCTAACACACTAGAGAAGTCTCTTTCAGAAATTGTTATGTATAGTCTTTTACATTAACAGGTTTTTTTTGTTTTGTTTTGTTTTGTTTTTTGAGACGGAGTCTCACTCTGTTGCCCAGGTTGGAGTGCAGGGGCACAATCTTGGCTCACTGCAAGCTCCGCCTCCCGGGTTCACGCCATTCTCCTGCCTCAGCCTCCCGAGTAGCTGGGACTACAGGTGCGCGCCACCATGCCTGGCTAATTTTTTTGTATTTTTAGTAGAGATGGGGTTTCACCATGTTAGCCAGGATGGTCTCGATCTCCTGATCTTGTGATCTGCCCGCCTCGGCCTCCCAAAGTGCTGGGATTACAGGTGTGAGCCACTGCGCTGGGCCAACAGTTTTTAATAGTACAAAGTCAACACATAATAAGCAAAAGGAAGAAAAATCACCTGTAGTTCCATTACTTTGAGATATACATCATTAATATTTTGGTGTTTTTTCTTTTAGTCTTTTTTTCCTGAGCATTTCTGTGTATATGCATATATACATTCTCATTTTTAACTGAAAGCCTTTTGTACTAACTTATATTTCTGCCTGTGAAAACTCTTTTAATGGTTTTCATTGACTATTTAGAAAATAATTCATTTTTAATAGAAAAAAATACTGTACTTCCACCTTTTTAGATTAATTCCCTTTCAATCCATTCTTCTAGAGAAATTGTGCAATCCCTTTGATCCACATCAATTTTTGGCCACGCAAAGATTCAGTTCCAAATGAAAATAAATGTTTCCCCCATCATCAGCCAATATCTCTCCATTAGAGGCTCTTGTAGGTGACATGGCAGTTGATAGAACATGATGTAAGGGTTAGCCTTACCTGATTCAGTAGTGATGGGTAAAGAAAAAAATGTGTCTGAGTAGAGTGGCTTTGTGAATTCCTTCAGGTCCTCATCAAAGAGCTGTGTAAAAGCTCGAATGCTGATTCTGAAAAGAAAACCGATTTATTTAAATATACATTAGTTGTTGAACACAGTAGCTGAAAAATGTGTTCAAGGAGAAATAGGGTGGGTTCCTGGTCAGTGTGTAGCAGGGTAGAACATGAGTTATGGAATCAGATAGTCCTGGGTTTATACATTCATTCATCAATTTATTCATAAATATTTAATGAGCCCCTGCCACATGCCAGTCACTGTTCTAGGAGCTGGGACTTTTCAAGAAACAAAACAAAGTCCCTGCCATTCCAGAGGTTACATTCTCATGGAGGAAGTCAGATAATAAACACATAAATATAATAAATCAGATGAGATGTGTGCTGTGAAAAAGAAAAGAGCAGGGTAAGGATGATGGAAAGCAATGGGAATACAGCATGTGGGACTGCTTTATTCAGAAAGGTAGTGATGAAGGCAGTGAGTGAGAAGTGTTGGATATGTCGAAGGAAGAACTAAATTTGTCAATGAATATAGAGTATGGATGATTCCTTATGTTTTGGCTGGGGAACAACTGGAAGAATGGAAGTGTCATGTACTAACATGAGGGAAAACTATGGGGAAGTAAACGGGGGGGTTTGGGAATATCCAGACAGATCAGTTGTGGGGGAAGTAATTCTGAGATGCCCATTAGAAAAGTCAAGTGACCAAATATCAATATTATTGTTGTTGTTGTTGTTATTTTAACTTACATATCTCTTCATCTTTTGACACTATTTTCTAAAGATCATTTTATCTAAATATATTCTAAAATCATATTTATTGTCAACAGAAAATATTTGTTAAAGGCCTTCTTTATAAATTGCTGAAGTTACAAAGAGATGCATGATCTCTAGTCTTGGAAACTTGAAAGATAAAATATAAAGGAATCAGGCAAATAGCAAAAGAAGAAAGCATATAAACAATGGCAAATGAGGAATAGTAGAATATGGAGGAAACTGTGTGTGTGGGCTTAGGAGGTGAGGTGGCGGGGAGCAGAGAGCTCAATGAAGACACTGCTGGGATAATCAGGCCAAGGACACAGGGCCCTGGCCAGGAGCCTCTGGCAATGAGAATGGAAAGAAGACTGTGAAAGGCACTGAAAGGAGGAACTAGGTGGGGCCCAGACTGAAGAGAAGCAGGGAGGAATCAAGGATGGCCTAAGACTTGAGCTCACGTCACTCAAGAGAACAGTGGGAACACTGATAGAAATGAGGAGAGAGGCTGGGCGTGGTGGCTCACACCTGTAATCCCAGCACTTTGGGAGGCCGAGGCAGGCAGATCACCTGAGGTCAGGAGGTGGAGATCAGCCTGGCCAACATGGCGAAACCCCAACTCTACTAAAAATACAAAAATTAGGCGTGGTGGCGGGCACCTGTAATCGTGGCTACTTGGGAGGCTGAGGCAGGAGAATCGCTTGAACATGGGAGGTGGAGGCTGCAGTGAGCCAAGATCATGCCACTGCACTCTAGCCTTGGTGACAAAGCAAGACTCCATCTCAAAAAAAAAAAAAAAAAAAAAAAAAAAGGGAGAGAGATTGGTGAAGGAAGATATACTTTGCTTGGGATATACTCGATTTAGAGGGACATTGAGGCATTGATTTAGAACTGTCCAGCTGACACTGGAGTTATTGCAGTCACCTGGGCAGGAGAGTTGCTGAGGTGGCTGTCCACGTGTCCATGTGGGATAGTGCCTGAAAATCAGCTGGTCCTAAATTCAATAAACAAGCAAGATGCAGCTACAAACACACAGATTTGTAACCTCTGCTTGAATGAGAAGCCTGTGATCCCTATCACAGGACCTAAGTCTCGTGCTCTCTCCGTAAGTCAGGCCCAGTCTGGAGAGCTGCACTCAATTTCTGGGGGCATATTTTAGGATGAATTAGAGATCATTTGAGGTGATTGACCTGAACAATGATAGAGAAGACTTCAAGGGACATAATATAGTTAGCTTCTGATTTAAAGAAGGCTGCCATGTAGAAGAGGAAAACAACATGATTATTTTTCTTCTTGAAGATAGAATTAGGCTCAGTAGGCTGAATTTATAAGGAAGGAGGAGTTTAGGAATATTAAGCTGTTTTCTAACATTAGAATATGAGCTACCTCCTAGATTGTGAGCTCCCAGTCACTGGGGGCTGGAGGATGGGGGTGGGATTCAAGTAGAGGCTGGAGGAGCAGCAGTCCCAGGGAAGCTGGAGGAGGGCATTGCTGCACTAAGTTAAAGATTGGGTGACTTCTTGAGTCCCTCCTATTGTGAAGATTCTCTAATTGAACTGATGGAGTATTAGGCTTGGTTTATATGGGAAAACTTTTTCTAGTGTTAATTTCAATTCTATGAAAGTGACCAGAAGTACTCCTTTTTTTTTTTTTTTTTTTTTTAAATCTATATTTCTTGAACCCAAAGGTATCTGGGCATGTCCTGTGATAATGCTGAAGCAGTACTAGGCCAGGGCAAATTGTTCTGCCCTGCCCCCCACTTCTTCTAACTCATGCCCAGATCCAAGTGTAATCCTGTAAAATGAACATCAAGATCATATTGATAAATCACATCTATAACTTCCATCTCCAAAAGATCCATTCCAAGTCAAAAGATGTTCCTCCAGGAATAACAGCCTGTCAATGGAAGTATATTGAGAAAGGTCCACAAAGGGTAACAAGCAATCACCACACATTAAAGGGGAAGGTGAGGAGTTGGTGTGTGTTGCTAATTTTGGAAGGCAGCTATGCTAACCACTATAACACCAATGCCTTGGCAAGTATGTTGCTAATTTATTATACATTTGGAAATTCAGTGTCTCTGATAAGAGTTTTGTATTTATAAGTGTGGGAAGACTTCTTTTTTTTTCTTTCTTCTTTCTTTTCTTTTTTTTTTTTTTTTTAGACAGGGTCTTACTGTGTCACCAGGTCAGAATGCACACTGCAACCTCCACCTCCCAAGCTCAAGTGATCCTCCAACCCCAGCCTCCTGAGTAGCTGGGATTACAAGTGCACACTACCATGGCCAGCTAATTTTTGTATTTTTAGTAGAGATGGGGTTTTGCCATGTTGCCCAGGCTGGTCTTGAACTCCTGGGCTCAAGCTATCTGCCTGTCTTGGCCTCCGAAAGTGCTGGGATTACAAGTGTGAGCCATCGCGCCCAGCCATAAGGACTTTTTCAAACATGGTTCTGTTTGATCATGTTCAACCTCTCCAATATAATAAAGAAGTTTATTATATTACTTCAGAGGTTTGGAACCTGAAGCTAGGAGACAGTCCATGTCTTCTCCAAGATCACACAGAAAGATGATGAACAAAAACTGAACTTCATATTTCTGGCTCCTAGTGCAGATCTCTTTTATTTCCTCATGGCTTAATTTTTGGTTAAAAGCAATGACTTCTGGCTGGGCACAGTGGCTCATGCCTGTAATTCCAGCACTTTGGGAGGCCAAGGCAGGCAGATCACATGAGGCCAAGAATTTGAGGCCAGTATGGCTAACATGGTGAAACCCCATTTCTATTAAAAATACAAAAATTAGCCAGACCCGTGGTGATGCGTGCCTGTAGTCCCAGCTACTTGGGAGGCTGAAGCATGAGAATTGCTTGAATCCAAAAAGTGGAGGTTGTAGTGAGCTGAGATCACGCCACTGCACTCCAGCCTGGGCAACAGAGCAAGACTCTTGGTCTGTCTGTCTGTCTGTCTGTCTGTCTCTCTCTCTCACACACACACACACACGCCATGACTTTTGTAGGAGAGATGAAAAAAGCCTGGGCTAGGAACAAGAGGATCTGAGATCTAGTTCTCACTTTTACTCCGTTGCTGGCTACTTGGATGGTCCCTAAAGTTCTTTATGCCTCATCTGTAAAATAAAAGCATTGGCTATAACAACCTTGACATACTCTGCTCTGAAATCACAAGTGTAAATACAAAGTACTGAATGGATGCAGATAAAAGGGACCTTTAGAAAGGAGATAATGACCTAGTATAGGTTCAGCTTAAAATTAATGGGTCATCAGGCATTCTTCCCTTAAAACTTTTCCAAAAATGAAAGTCACAACTACTTTCCCCAGCCCAGCGCTTAGCACTCACCCATAGTCCTATCTCGTCCTATCATCCCAGTCTACTCCTTTTTATTCACCCTCTGTTTGAAACTGGACTGTTTGTTCTACTCTAAATAATTTGTGTATTTAAAACTCCACACTTTGACTCCCACTATTCCTTCCACATTGAATCTCCTTCTGTCACTATCTGCATATTTCTAAATCCTTTTCCTATGTTTTAATACATCCTTTGAGAAGCCTTCTGAACCTTCACAGCATTTATTTTCCTTTATTCCTTATGTCCTTCAACATTTCTGCCTCTATTTTGCAGATGTGGCTTCTGTCTCCACATTGTAAGCTCCTTGAAGGTAGTGTTCCACCTTATTTATCTATCACCCAACAACACCTATTGCCAGAGAAGGCAAGAAAACATATGCTGAATATATTATAGCAAGATAATTATAAATATGACACAATAACAAGACACTATTTTTAGTGAACAAATGTCTGATAGAATTTTTTCCACTTTAAATGTGTCTAGAATTAGAATTCTATAGCAGAAAGTTAGAGATCATGCAGTTTACATTCCTTCCTTTGAAGAAAACGAGGTCAGGAGAAGCTGACCACCTTACTATGGTCACACTGCTCTTTTATTTAGAATAAAAACAAAACCAGACCAGCACTTGCCTAACCTTCCAACTCTCTCACCATAATGATCTGCCCTTTCTCTTTCCATATGGAACAATGCAATAATACATATGAATCATAGGAACCCAACAATGAATGAAACACATTATATCTGTTGACATAACAAACTTGCGTATCAGCAAAACCTAGAATTTCCCATTTCTCAATCCTAATTATTCTTTTTCTGCACGATTTCCTGTCCACCTATTCCCTTTGGAAAAAAGGATGCCTAACAACAAGGAGGGTGACTGGTGGTGATTGTCTTGAGACAGGCAGAATTCTGACTGGACTGAGTTCAGCAGCCACCACACAAGAGGCTGATTTGCATGTGGTTCTGTGATGTGTTTTGGGAGATGACACCTCCTCTCATCAAGCATTATCTGTCTGGCATGCTTTTAACACGACTGAAGTAAATATATATATCGGAGAAATATAGGAAAGCTGTGTTCTGAAAAACAAACATGTACACAGAGATGATGAAGCCATAACACGAATGTGTTACTTCCATAGAGCATCTTGGCTCATTCCCGTATTTGTTCATAAACATTTCACAAGCACATCTTTTGTGCCAGGAACCTGCCATATTGTTTTGTAACCAATGACACATCTGTCTCCCCTGTTGGATTGTGAGTTCTTGCAGTCTAGTTGAAGACAGCAGGTAATTCAATAAGGGGTTAAAAGCCACTGGTAAATGTAGGATTAGAGGCATGTAGGGAGATGGTGCTGTGGATGTGGACATGGAGCTGATGGAGCACCCAACCGCCCAGCTGTGGGTTGACAGGATAGTGTGGGTGGTTGAGGGTTGAGCTGGCTTTTGAAGTGTATGGAGAATTCACCAGCCAGATAAGAACGGAAAGCATCTGAGAGAGAAAAGATTATGCAAAGGCTCAGGGGTATAAAAGAATCATGTCACATTCAGGAACTCCGAGGAGTGACGAGTAGCAGGAAAGCAGTGGGTACTTAGAGCATATATGGTTGGAGACAAGGCTGGTGAGGCAGGCAGGAGAAAGCAGGGTTTAGTGTGCCCTGTGCTGGAATCTGCTCTTGCTCTTGTAAGTGAATGGGAACTACAGGAAAACCTTAATTTACAAGTGACATGACTAGGTTTGATCTGTCACATACTCAAAACCACTACTTAGGACACCCTTATGGAGCTTTGCAGGTGAGGAAGATGAAGATTAGAGAACTGAAATGCTGCTTACAAGTTAAAATACATAGTTAAAAAGTGGCAGAGTTGGAACTCAAATGCAGGTGCTCTTCCAAAGACCTCCACAGCTACTATGGGTGCTGGGAGATTGGTGGACTTTGGTCCAGACATAAATTTTTTATAGCTTCTTACTCTCTCTTTGAAATATAGTAATGAGTTATCTTCACCCCTTCCCTTTCCATAAGTAAACAAACTAAATCAGCCTCAATGTTCCAACTCAAAAAGAAAATCGCCCTTAGGTGACTTTTGCTCAAGTTTCCTTGAGCCCAAGTAACCAAGGAGCTGAGGAATCTCGATTCTTTTTTTTTTTCTTTTTTTTTTTGAGAGTCTTGCTCTGTCGCCCAGGCTGGAGTGCAGTGGCACGATCTCCACTCACTGCAAGCTCCGCTTCCTGGGTTCACACCATTCTCCTGCCTCAGCCTCCCATGTAGCTGGGACTACAGGCGCCCGCCACCGCGCCCGGCTAATTTTTTTAAAATGTATTTTTAGTAGAGACGGGGTTTCACCGTGTTAGCCAGGATGGTCGCGATCTCCTGACCTCATGATCCGCCCGTCTCGGCCTCCCAAAGTGCTGGGATTACAGGCGTGAGCCACCGCACCCGGCCTCTTTTTTTGGTTTTGAGATGGAGTCTTGCTCTGTCGCCCAGACTGGAGTACAGTGGCATGATCTCAGCTCACTGCAACCTCCACCTCCAAGGTTCAAGCGATTCTCCTGCCTCGGCTTCCCGAGTAGCTGGGATTACAGGCGTGCACCACCATGCCTGGCTAACTTTTATGTTTTTAGTAGAGATGGAGTTTCACCATGTTGGCCAGGCTAGTCTTGAACTCCCGACCGCAAGTGATTTGCCCACCTCAGTCTCCCATAGTGCTGGGATTAGAGGCGTGAGCCACCACTCCTGGCCGCATCTCTTGATTCTTACAGGAACTGATAAATCCGGGTTTTCTAATCTTTCTTGTTTCTCTCTTGTTCTTCTGAAATCTTGTTTCCTTTAGGTAGGCTCATATGGTCTCTTTTTGAAGTAAGTATCACTAAAAAGTTTGTGTGTGTTTAATCTGGAGGTGCCGACCTTGCCTGGGAGGTAACAGTAAGTGTCTGGTGAGCCCTGGGTAAAGGTAGCTATACAAAGTTCTTGCCAAAAGTGAGTGTTTTGTTTTAGGAAAAACATCTGTCTTGTTTGATGTGAGGGAGGAGCTAAGAACTCTTTCGGGTGTAATGCTATGTCATAGTCTCCTTTTGGTACTGGCAGGAGAGTTTTTTTCAGCTGAGACCTAGGAGTGATACTTCAAATATGTGAGAATCAATAAGCCCTCAGCATCCACAAAGTAGAATGGATGCTGGCCCATGGAAAACCTAATTTACTGCCATATTGATTGGGTATCAGCTCTTCCAACACCCAACAGAGAAGGTACAACTTCTGTAGAAGTAATAATCTTGGGTGTCAGTAGCTCTATATCCAAGACAGTAGCCTAGGTTCCCTTTCTCTTGAGGATGCTGATTGGGATGCTGTATACTTCTGCTTGTACCTGCCTTCCGAAAACACAGTGCAGAACAAGAGCACTGCCAATTCCTAGGGCAGAATGGCCTAGTACTGCAATGATGTTTCCTGGAGCCAAAGCCAAACAGCTGCTTCTTTTCATTTGTCATCTCCATGGGGAAAAAAAGGTGTTCCCATTCATTCAGGGGCCTTTGCCTTCCAGAGTTCTGTCTGGACCAAAGAGCACTTCCATCTTTAGATGCCTTAGAAGGTAAATAAGTGAGTATAATTTCAGTTCACATTATAAGTAGAAGATATAGCTTCATATTGTTTGGATCTCCCTAAACTCAGTCATTTTATTTGGACATTTTTACAATAATGAGCAACGTAAAGTATTGGACTCATATTTAAAAAGTTGTAGAAGGGCCGGGCATGGTGGCTCACACCTGTAATCCCAGCACTTTGGGAGGCTGAGGCAGGCAGATCACTTGAGGCCAGGAGTTGGAGACCAGCCTGGCCAACATGGTGAAACCTCCTCTGTACTAAAAATACAAAAATTAGCCAGGTGTGGCGGTGTGCACTTGTAATCCCAGCTACTCGGGAGGCTGAGGCAAGAGAATTGCTTGAACCAGGGAGGCGGAGGTTGCAGTGAGCCGAGATGGCACCACTGCACTCCAGTGTGGGCAAGAGTAAGACTGTCTCAAAAAAAAAAAAAAAAAAAAAAAAAAGTTGTAGAAGAGAGAACAATCTATTAAGAACCTTCAGTTCTTCCCTTAATGAATTGGAGCTTTTGCATAGTGCTGAAGTCCCTTTTGACACATTACCTGCAAGTGGAGGCAGGAATCCAACTTTCATAAATTACCCAGTAAAATGCAGAGTTTACTCTTCTAACGTAGGTTATTAATCTATGGAAGCTCACATGCATCAGATGCTCAGACAGCTGCGTGCCTTGTAATGTAGCATGTCCCATCTAGCAAAACAGTGGTAATACATCTAACCTGTAAGCAGTGTGTGGCTTCAGTGGTCCATCACAGAATTTTTGCTGAGTGGGATCGCATTTTCCACCTAGGCTCTCCATCTCTGCTCCAAGCTTAATGTTAAAACTCTTGGAGTTGCTGTTAGGATTTTCGGCACATTTGCTGGCAAAATAATTAGTCTGATACACCCGAATGGAGGCGTTGTGCCTGTATTCCAGGTAGGAAGGGAGAGGGTGCTGTTGTTCTGGCTTCAGCTCATCACTGCCTGGAGGAGAAAACCCACAGTTAAGGACTGCCTTTCTTGTGACTTAAGTGATTTCAGTGATTTTAAATTAGGTTTCTAAGGCTGCCTCCTCATCCACTATCTCTGGCCATTTCCAAAGTACAGATTGTGCAATCTCAAAGAACGATATGAAATTCTCCTAATAAAGTTAATTTTAAATCACTTTTTCTAAAATACATAAAAATAAATAGTGTGTATATAAAATACACAAACACAAACACCTGTATATAGCATCATTTTCCTAGGAAATAAAATGAGGGTAGCTCATTGCATTAAATGATAGCACCTCTCACAACTCCACAGTGTTACACAACTCCCATTGTGAGTGAACCCACTCAATAAACTCTTTATCTTGCCAATAACCATTGTAGTTGAGCTAATAAGGAAACCCCTATGACCTGGGAAATAGGAAAAAGATAAGAGAAATCATGTCCTAGGCCAGAGTAGTCATCCCACAAGGCGCGTTCCACATGCCATGCCCAGTTTGATTATTGCTCTGCGTGTGGCTCTCTGTTATCTTGAGTACAGTTTAATCCTGGTCCAAATTTGGCCCCTTACTCAGAGCACTTCCCAGAACTCTTCCCCTGTTCACCCAGCCTGCTGTGTGTTTTGGCACCGCGAACCAGTTTTGATGCTGACTGGAGAAAAGCATAAGTAGAAAGATAAATACTATAGAGATCAGATACTATTTACAGTGAGTTTCAAGGTGTGGTGCAGTGAGGGTTTATCATAGCATCCTGGATTCTTGTTTAATAAAATTTGCTCATAAGTGGGTCTTAGAAATATTTTGTTGGCAGTAGTTAAAAAGAAACGTTGTCTTGGCCGGGCGCGGTGGCTCAAGCCTGTAATCCCAGCACTTTGGGAGGCCGAGATGGGCGGATCACAAGGTCAGGAGATCGAGACCATCCTGGCTAACACGGTGAAACCCCGTCTCTACTAAAAATACAAAAAATTAGCCGGGCGAGGTGGCGGGCGCCTGTAGTCCCAGCTACTCGGGAGGCTGAGGCAAGAGAATGGCGTAAACCCGGGAGGCGGAGCTTGCAGTGAGCTGACATTCGGCCACTGCACTCCAGCCCGGGTGACAGAGCAAGACTCCGTCTCAAAAAAAAAAAAAGAAACGTTGTCTTTAGCATGAGTATGTACACTATAAATGGCATTTATATGAGATGGATTGTTATCTTAGTTAACCTGGAAATCACAGCCCATCTCCATGGACATCAATAATGGAAGGCTGTCTGGCTGGGGAACACAAGGCTACTTTCTGGGGTGTGACTTTTTCGGTTACTGTCTTACAGTCATGCAGCAAAACACTGTCTTCAATGCAGTCTAATCAAGTCTAAAGTCTTTCCACAGTTCACCAATGTATCTTCAATTATGTGGTGTGAGGAAATCTGGGACACACCACTGACCCTTGAAATTATTTAGTTAATTGTGCATAACCAGATTTAGTTCAATTAAATAAACTGTAAAAGCACATAGACTGTTAGATACCGTGACCCTAAAATACCCATTGGCCTAGAAACTGCCTCACAGTTTGTCAGGTTTCAAGTTTCCCCCTTACCCACAAATGGGTCAAAATTATCAGGGATACTTAAGAAACTCATGTAGCACCTTAAACAGTATAAAAATATATAAGAAAGGTAAACCTATATTAATGTCATTCCAGGCACAAGCCTCTCTTTTGGAGAAATAACACACAAGACCTCAACAGCAAATATATACATGGACAGGTGTGCCCCAAATACAACACTCTTACAGGTGGTTTGACAAATGCTGATATGATAAGCTTGAAAGCTCTTACTCAGTGGTTGCATGTGATGTTGTGATAACTAGTCCCTAGACTTTGTTCTTATCTGTAGGAATTAGGTAGATATTGAATAATTTAGGAAACTAGAGAATGAAACATACTATTCAAAATTCAGTGGAGAAAGAAGAATGTTTCTCATGAACTTTTTTTTCTTCTTTTAGGCTTTTGGTTATTTTTGTGACTTGGTGGGTGGTTTGCAAGTATGATCAGTTGAGGCATTGGAGATAGGGAGGGGTGAAGACGGTTGAGGCATATTAATGTTTAATGGTAGAACAAAAGAGTAGTGAACAAGATTGACCCAGTAATGAAGAGGACTAATCCCAACTACTTAGGAGGCTGAGGCAGGAGGCGGAGGTTGCAGTGAGCCAAGACTGCGCTATTGCACTCCAGCCTAGGCGACAAGAGCGAAACTCCATCTCAAAAATAAATAAATAAATAAGAAACGTAATACATAAATTAAGAGTTCCTTCAAAGTTAGTTTGAAGCCTTGAGATTGCCAAGAGGTTGGGTGGAAAGAAGAGGACTGAATAAGGCATTACATGCAATGCAATTCCAACAGTGCACGGCACGTGGTAAAGGCTTAATAAATGATGGTTATTGTTATTATCGCTGTGGTTGCTATTATCATTACTCTTCTACTTCATAATTAAACCTAGAGGATAACAGGCTTTACTGCCCAAAGAGGCTTTGAGCAGCTTTTCCTTACATCTCCCTGTATCCAGCAGAGATGGGGTGAATGATACAAAAATTACATTTTCTACTTAAGTTTCTTGAACCTTTTCACAGAAAGATCTCCCACATGACCTCCGAGAAAGCAATTCGGTGTCTCAGAGTGGAGTTAACTCATGATAACTTACCATCAGCCTCTCTCACCACCACTGTGAAGTATTTCACAGCTCCATTGGTGTCACTGAACCAGCTGCAGTTGACAGTAAAGTTGATGGAAGATTTGCTAATTAGCACATCCTTTTCATTCACACGAATGTGTGGGGGTGGAGGAGGGGGGCCTGGAAAAAGAGGTGGGGAAGGAACCAAGAGGGGTCACAACTCTGCTTTCACAGCATAAACAACAGTAAAATGAAGGATTCTGCTCTCTTGCATCAGACTGTGTGTGTGAGCGTGCGCCTGTGTTTAATGCTGTAATCAAGAAACTCTCCCCCTCTCCTGAAGGAAAACAGGCAGAGGAAGTGATTTGCCAGTGGCACATTAAACATAATGAAAGAGGTAGCTCTTCAGCAGAATTTCCTGAAGTTGTAGCTTCAAATTGCTTGAGAGCTCTATTATAGCTCTAACTATATGAGGCAAAGTGATATATTTAAATACTAACTCATTCAGGTACTTTAAGATCATCTAACTTGTTTGCTGTCAGGGTACTTTACCCAGAGAAATGTTGCCATTTCTTGGAGCCTTTTAAGTCCTCCTCTCCAGGTGGCAATCACATAGGCTTATGCAAAAGTGAATGGCAGTGATGGATATGATAGAGAAGGGTGCACAGCCCCTTCACTCCGGTGACAGGAGGCTCCGTGCGTAACTTCAGGGACACTTACGGTCTATCATTGTGATAGTGCTGTCTTCAACCACCTCGCTGGTCATGCCGGCCGACTGTACTTTGATGGATACCAGGTACCTCTTATGGGGCACTAGCATCATGATGTTGAGCAGAGATTTTTCTTTCTCCAGCTTTCTGGAAAACTCAACTTCTTGGGTGTCCATTTTCCGGCATTCAATACTGTAACCATCAAAGTCAGAATCAGGAGGGATCCAAGAACAGGCAATGGCTGTGGAGTTCTGAGGCCGGCAATGCAGGTTTTGTATCTTGTCAGGCTCTAAAGGGAACAGAGGAGCCAACACTTTTCAGAACTCAAGGAGAATTTTTTTATTTTCCAGCTCCTTTGGGTCCAACTAGCTCTGAGATCTAGGTATAGGAGGGACAGACAGGCAAATACAGAGTGTCGTGGCTCACCCTAGCAGACACATGAGCACAAATCTCCCAGGGAACCAGGGCTGGGGTAGGAAGTGCTGAAGGACAAGCGTGGACAAGTCTGAGTAATAGTTAAAGACTCCGGGGGATCTAATTATGGGGCCCTCCACACTTTGGTGAGTTTAGCTCCAGGAGCTCAACCAGGTTCACACAGTGAATATCGAAGAAAAATCCCCCCATGTTTCTGAAAGGGGGGGAACAAAATAACTGTTTTGAAACACACTAGAGCACTCTGCCCTCAGTGGAATCTACCCAAAGCCTAACATGCTGGGGTTTTATCAGAGCCCAACTGACCTGGGCCAGGGGAATAACCCAACCCCAGCTACTTCAACCATCCTGTCCCACCTCAGGTGGGGGTAGGGGGTGCTGAGAAGTACCTGCAAAGTTCACAGCTTGGAGGCATAGGTTCGCTAGAAGACTAGACCTAATCGTAGGACTCTAAAGCACTTCTCCTCCCCCATGCTTCATCACTGCCCCACCAAACACCAATTTACAGCAGTTTCTTTTACGTAGTATGCTGTATCGAGCTATCAAGAAAAAATCACAAGGCCTACTAAAGGAAAAAATATATAGCTTGAGGAAACTGAACAAGGATCCAGAACCACAAGTCAGATATGGCAGGAATGTTGGAACCATCAGACCAGGAATTTAAAACAACAGTCATTAACATGTTAAGGGCTCTAATGGACAAAGTAGACAACGTTCAAGAACAGGTGGGTGATGTAAACGGAGAGGTGAAAGTCCTAAGAAAGAACCAAAAATAAATGCTAGAGATCAAATCACTGTGACAGAAATGAAGAATACCTTGATGGACTTCTTAGTAGCTAGACATGGCTGAGGACAGTCTCTGAGCCTTGAGGATCTATCAGTAGAGACCTCCCAAATGGAAAAGCAAAGAAAACAAAGACTGAAAAGCAGAAAATATCCAAGGACCATGGAACAACCACAAAAAGTGTATCCTACACAAAATGGGAATACCAGAAGGAGAAAGAAAGGAACTGAAGAAATATTTGAAACAAGAATGACTAAGAATTTCCCACAAATAAATGTTAGACACCAACCACAGATCCAGGAAGCTCAGAAAACACCAAGGAGGATATATGCCAAAAAAACTATGCCTAGGCACATAGTTTTCACACTACAGAAAATCAAAGATAAAGAAAAATTCCTGAAAGAAGCCAGAGGGGGCAAAACAACTTACCTATAGAGGAGCAAAGTTAAGAATTGTGTCCTCCTCTGAAGCCATGCAAACAAAAAGAGAGTGGAGTGAACACTTTTTTCACATGTTGAGAGAAACAAGTACCTACTATGGGCCAGGTGCTCTTCTGGGGATGATGAACAGTACAGAGGTAAGTAAGATGTTAGCCCTAACCTGCAGGAATGGAAATGAGTCCAAATAGCCATAATAGAAGGCAGAAAGGAAAACATACCAGAAGAAATGGTGAGACAAGGTGCTATGTGGGGGTGACACAACTTTCAGCTGCTGGCTATTAGTTATCAGCAGGAGTTAGTAAAAGCTGTAAGGCAGAGGTGACACTCTGCCAAGGTATCAAGAAAAAGGTATTCTGCGTAGAGAAAAACCACAAACCCAGGTACCAAAGGAGGAGGTGCCGGGAGTAGGATGGTAGAAAATTGAGAACTGCAAATCATTCATTATGGTTGAAGCATATTTGTCAGAAATTGAGTACTGGAATGATTTTACATGAAAATTATAAACTTCTATTCTATTTAAACTTCTGCTATTTTGGATTTTCTGTTACCCATAGCCTCACCTGATCCTAATAAATACAAGCCTCGAAAAAACACACAAACAAACAAAAAACAAGTTCCACCAGTCATCATTCCTCATAAAACACAGCACTGAGGCAGTTTTTGTCCTCCTGGGCACTCCCCCGTTTGGTAAATGCCTCACTTAAATTCTAGCATCCAGGACTGAATACAACAGTCCAGTTGTGATCTATAAGCCCAGCCTCTAACAGAGTCATATGAGCTCTTAAACTGAGTACCTGCAAGGCTGTTGGGAAAGGCAGTCTCGTGTGCATAGTCTATCGACCCCCATTTGGCTGTGTAAGAAATGGCCCTTGAGCTTAAGATACTTTCTTACCAAGAGATCGAGAGCCTACACAGCCTGTGCTGGGCTCATTGCCTTGTGTGGGAGTATCGTTCCCTGTTGCAAGCTCAATGTATGCTCTTTTGTTCTGCTTACGCATGTGTGTCACATGGCAGATGGTGAACACCAATGCTACAGTTGTCCTCTGAGGAGACAGGACAGGGTCCTTCTACTGTGGCCTGAGAGTGGTGCACTTAGCCAACTGCCCTGCACTGGCTGCTGGAAGAGACCATACACAATGTGCCCTTCTGTTTTCTGTTGTTGTCAGGGTTGAAGACAGCAAGTGCATCTCTGGGCAACCACTGCAGCTGGCCATGGGGGACTGATGCATACTGTTGAGGTTGATCTTACTCTGTCTCCTCCCTATGTAAGTAAAGCTTTGTTCCATCAGTGCTTGCGTTATGTTTCTCTGGTGACTCTAATACCAGATGCAATGGGCAGAAGTGTTTAGAGTCCTGCCCTGGGTTTGGTAACCAGTGCAGGGTGCTCTGCTTAACAGATTTCATGAACACAGCCCACAGCCAGCCACTGAAAACTCAGGCTGAGCGTGCCATAAACTAAAACTCTTAGTTCTTTTTCACATATTTCTCTTGACACACAAATAACTGCTCTTTGGACACAATGTGGCATAAAAGTTATACTTGTTATAGTATTAATGCTTATTAAAAATGTCTGACTTTATTAAAATGCTTAAATGTCTAACTTTCAACTATGCATTTTATCAACAACCAATAACTATCTGATCTGATCCCAGAAGCTACTTCTACTGGGTATTATTGAAACACAAATATTTGGATTAAAGTCCCTACACTGAAAACCTGTCTTTCTTTGAGGGTGATAGTATCTATCCCAAAATGCCTTTGGGAAGAAACTGGTATGTGCTTCATCGTCAAAGTATTTTTATCTCAGGGACATACAGCAGTATGTCCTATGATCCCTCTGCTTCTAGTTTTGCCTCTTTCAGTCTATTCTCTACACTGTACCCAGAGTAACTTTCTAAAGTGTAAATAATGATTATGATATCTCTGCTGAAATTGAGTGGCTCCAGTTGGTCCAAAATAAAGTTCAAAGTAGTTACCATGGAATACAAAACATTTTATTATCTGATTCCCTTTATCCTTACCTTTTATGCTATGGCCAAATAAACTTATTTCTGTTCCCCTGTTAGTAGATCTTGTACTCTCCCTCCTCTCTGATCTTGGAATATTTTATTCTCTCGACCTGGAATATTCTCCACTTCTTCCCCCACCTCTACCTGGTAAATTTCTTTCTTTAGGTTTCTATTTGGATGTTTCCTTTTCCAAGAAGTTCTCTTGTATTGGGTCAGATTACCCAAACAGTGCCTCTATAGTACCATTTACTTCCCTCATCATACCCAAAATATAATGTCTATTTACAAATAGTATGTCCTACCTAATTGTAAGCCCCATGAGGGCAGAGAGAGATTATTTCTTTATTGTCCCTTGTTGTTAATGTTGAATGAATGAACAAATCTACATAGACTTCTGCCTGAATTCAAATCCAGACCAATCCCATGTAAAAATATGGATTTAATCGAAGCCCTATTTGAGTAAGATGTTGAATATATACTTCCCCTCACTCCATTTGAGAAACAAGAATAGCAAAACATGTCATACTTGTCCTCACAGTTCCAAAAATTGGTTTGCTGTAAGTTTTCCAGGAATCACCACTGACAGTCTTGACACTGAATTGATAGGATCTCCCTGGACGAAGACCATACACAATGCGTCCTTCTGATTTTCTGTTGTTGTAGGGGTTGAAGACAGTAAGTGCATCTCTGGGCAACCACTGCAGCTCAAAGTCATTGTAGTCTGTCCAGTCTGGGGGCCCCTTCCACGTGATGGCCAAGGATGTGTTTGCAATGTCAGCAAATGACATAAGACTGGGAGGACTTGGAGCTGAATATAGGAGAAAGTGAAAAATCACATAATCACATCTATGCTATAACACATACAAAAAAGATGGCTGAGTAACATCAGACACACTTTTAATGTACTTTGTAGGAAGAGATAATATGATAATATAGTAGCAGGAGCTTTCATTAATAGTGTTTATTATGTGTAAGGCACTGTCCTCAAGCATTTTATGTACTTTTTCTTTTCTTTTTCTTTTTCTTTTTTTTTTAATACAGAGTTTTGTTCTTGCCGCCCAGGCTGAAGTGCAGTGGCATGATCTTGGCTCACTGCAACCTCCATCTCCCAGGTAGCTGGGATTACAGGCACTTCAGCCTGCCAAGTAGCTGGGATTACAGGTGCCCACCACTATGCCTGGCTAATTTTTGTATTTTTAGTAGAGACAGGGTTTCCTCTTGTTGACCAGGCTGTTCTTGAACTCCTGACCTCAAGTGATCTACCCACCTCGGCCCCGCAAAGTACTGGGATTACAGGCGTAAGCCACAATGCCTAGCCTCATATACGTTTTCTTAAATATTCATAGCCAGATCTTCCTTACCATGGTGCTGTGGAGCATGAGTGTGCTCTGAATGGGTTACAAGTGTGTGAAGGTATTAATTCCATCAGATTTTGGGGTGCAGAGCTGACGTCCGCAGACAATTATGTCCAATTGCAGATAGCCTTGTTGATTAACCCCAGGGTGACACACAGACATCTATGTGTGCCCATGACATAAAAACAGTTAGGGTGCACTGGTGATAGCCACACAGTGATGATGTATATGATTATTCCCACTTTGCAGATAAGGAAACTGAGGCCTAGAGATGCTCAATGACTTGACCAGATTCATAGAGCTAAGCTAAGGACGTAGTTCTTTTGGACCATAGCCTTGTCATTTATCTGTTGTACCACAGTCCCTTCCCAAGTTCAGGGGCTAGCACAGGGTATGCCATTATTGACTTTATCTCTTGTCATTAAAATCAGAATCAAAATGTGTCTCTGGAAGCTACTTCCCACCACCCCTTGGCCACTGGCACCTGGGCTTCTCACCTGTTCTGCTCTCCGCTGTGACTTTATTGCTGAGATCTCCACTGTGAGTTACCACCCACAGTGTGTACTTCCTTCCAGGAACAAGGCCGTGAAACCGCCACTCCGTCAGGTCCTTGTCTTTCCAGTTTTCCTTCTTTGTGCCATTGGGATTATAGAGAATCAGTTCATAAAAGTCAAAGTCCCCAGAGGCTGGACTCCAGCTGAACCAAAGGCTGTCTGTCATGTTCCGATTGGACCCCCTGAGATGACTCACAGAGGCTGGGACTTAAACAGAAGAAAAATTCTTAATGAGAACAAAACAGAAACAAAGGCATTTTGGCCCACAGGTGAGAGTATATGCTATGTTGGGCATGTGGGTGAGCTGTACATATTATAGTCAGATCTTGCCTACATTTCAGGCCATTTAAGTTTAAGGGCGTATAGAGTAGAGATATGGTGTAAATTAAAACAAAACAGGTGGTGACTTCTAGACGCTTGCCACATGCACCCTGATAAGCATGTAAAATGATTGAATCTTCATAAATGATGAATAAATCGTTGTCATTTAGCTTATTTAAAAAGGCCCAGAAAATGTGTATACAAGGTTCCAGCTCCTCCCCAGTGTGGCCTATGTCATTGCAGCCACCATCCCATAGCAACCCTCTCCGGGTCTCTTTACGTCCTCTCTACCCTCCTTTAGGTTCTCAGTTGTCTTGTGCTCTTTCTTATAAAATCTGTATTGGTATAACTTCATTTAGGGAGAGAAGTGTTTACAGTCACTCCTATCATTGTATAGATTAGTCATGCTGCCATCCATCCATCCCAATAGCTTTGCTATTCTTTGGAGAATGAAGACTGTTGCCACATTGGAGGACTTCTAAGCATTAATGAGCAGGTGAGGAAAGATGTGCAAAGGGCTGCCTCAGAAATGATGATGGGTAGGCAATTATATCTGTGGTTGAGGCTTATCACAGCTCTTTTTCACTCCTTTCAAAAGACAAACAGAACTTCTGTTGGGTGCCCTTGGAATATGTTCCCACATGGCTCCCCTCACCTTTAGTTCTCTGCTGAAATGCCTTCTCCTATCTAAAGCAGTTGCTTGTCCTGCCAAGTCACTATCATGACACATCATTTTTTTGATAGAATTTAAGGCATTCCCAAATTATCTCCCTTAATGATCTGTCCCCGTCCTCTTCCCTCCCCGCTATTGCAGAGTTCTCTGAGGGCAGCGCCCTTGACTGTCTTGTTGACCGTCATATTACAGCAGTGGGCCATGTACCTGGCACAGAAGAGCACCTAAAACTATTTGTCAAATGAGAAAACAGAATTGAATAGGTTGGCTGGGCGTGGTGGCTCATGCCTCTAATTCCAGCACTTTGGGAGGTTGAGGCAGAGGACTGCTTTAACCAAGGAGTTCAAGACCAGCCTGGACAATATAGGGAAGCCCCCATCTCTACAAAAAATAAACATTAAAAAATTAAAAGTTTGCCATGCATGGTGTCATGTGTCTGTCGTCCCAGCTACTTGGGAGGCTGAAGCAAGAGGATCACTTGAACCCAGGAGGTTGAGGCTGCAGGGAGCCATGATGGCATCACTGCACTCCAGCCTGGGCAACACAGCGAGAACTTGTCTCAAAAAAAAAAAAAAAAAAAAAAAAAATTTGAATAGGAGATAAAGGACTCAAATTATGGGAAAAGGGTAGATTCTGTTTTTTATTTGCAGCCCAGAGAGATGTCTCTCACTTTCCTGGAACTCTGTGTTTTCACTTCATCTAGTGCTATGTTTCTAATTCACAGCAGTCACTGCCTGTTTGCTATATTTGTGGTTGCCCTTCTCTGCTCCTGCTCTCCTCTCCATCTATTTCTTGTTAGAAAGCTGAAGGGTATGGCTTGAATTAAACTATGATGCCCTCTTGTACAGTTTGATGTCAAGAGGAGGAACCACATTCATTTTTTACCAAGCCCTAGGAAGTAAACAAGTGGAGGCAAAAGAGCAGAAGCTAGTGCAAAACCTGGCCGCAAATTAGTTACACATAATCAAACGTGCGATTTAGGGTCAAACAGCCTGAAAGTCACAAATGTCATATAAAGCTACATCCTGAATAGAATAGGAAACTAAGGACCAACCCAGGAAAAGCCAGTGAATACCGGGACAATTCCCCCACGATTCATTACTGCTTGGGTCTTGGTCTTACCTGTTCTACCAAATATGAAAGACTCATTAGACAGCTCCCCACTGTGAGTTACAATCACCATCTTGTACATTCTGCCTTGTAGCAAGTTCTGGAAAGAGAAGCTCTGGACTTGCGGGTCAACTTGAGCTCTCTCCTGGAGATTCCCATCTGGGTTGTACAAAAAGATGTTGTACCAGCTGAGCTCCCCCTCTGAGGCGGTCCAGCGGAAGGACAGGTGCCTGGTGGAGTTCTCTGTGATCCTCAGGTTGGTGACAGCTGCTGGGACTGGAAAAGTCGAGGAGCAAGAGAATGAGGGAGGGAAATTCAGTGAGGAGAAGAGAGCAGGTGGGAAAGAAAGGGAAAAGCAAACAGAAAGAGGAAGTTGGATTCAGTGATATGAGAAACAGAAACAATAGGAAAAGCCAAAAGCATTTTTCAAAAAGCTTCATGTTAGAATTTTGCAAACCCTTTTGGACTTCTGTGCTACCTCTTGGCAAGGTCAAGTGCTGCTAGAAACCGCCTCCTTGCAAACTGCTGGCACAGATGCTGTCTGATTCCTCAGCTGGCTTAAGATGCCAGTAGAAACAGAACAGGACATCTGCCTTGATTTCGCCTGAGTTCTCTTTTCTCCACCTCAAATGCTCTTTCTCAGGCTCTTTTTGCTTTCTCCGCTCCTTTTGCCAGGCCCTTACAAGTTATTTCCCATGGATCCATCCTTTGTTTCCTTCATATTCTATAGCCCTAGCTGAGCAATCAGTCTCATTCAATTTATGGATTCAACTAGCATTCTGGTCCAGATCTTTTTATGTCCAGCTCACTTCTCTTCTGAGCTCAAATCCGTATTTCCAAATGCCTATGGTCCCCTCTCTCTGCAAGTCACTCAGGCACCTCAAATTCAATACACAGCTGAACTCTGTGGATTTTTGCCTGACCCTCTCACCTCCTGCTTCTCTTATCTCAATTAATGGCATCATCTTCTACCAGACATCCTAGGTAGAAACTCTGGAATCTTCTGTTCCTTCCTCTATAATCCACTCAGCTCCCAAGTGCCACCTTAGCTAATGCAAAAATACTTCTTGACTGTATCCACTATTCTTCATGAGGGCCCCTGCATTCGTTCAGCTGTTGGTCCTTCTCCTATGACTGCAGTCATGTCATGACCCCATTACCTGTCCAACTGCATCCCCCCCAACTCATTTGCGCTCACTCTGTTCCAGCCATATGGGCCTCTTTACTGTTCCTCCAACAGGTCAGACACACACGCACTCAGGGTCTTTGCTTTGGCATTGGCTCTGCTTCTAAATACCCAAATATTTGCATGACTTTCTCATTTCTTTCAGAGTTTTACTCAAATGTCACTGCCTCAGTGAAGTCTTTGGGGACTGTACTACCTGAAATTGTAAGTCCCGGCTGGGTGCAGTGGCTCATGCCTGTAGTCCCAGCACTTTGGGAGGCTGAGGAGGGTGGATCACCTGGGGTCAAGAGTTCAAGACCAGCCTGGCCAACATGGCGAAACCCCGTTTCGCCATGGGTTGTACAACTACTTTTTTTAGTACTTTTAGTAGTACAAACTACTAAAAATGTAAAAATTAGCTGGGCGTGGTGGTGCATACCTTTAGTCCCAGCTACTCTACTCGGGAGGCTGAGGCAGGAGAATTGCTTGAACCCAGGAGGTGGAGGTTGTGGTGAGCTGAGATTGCACTACTGCACTCCAGCTTGGGTAACAGAGGGAGATTCTGTCTCAAAAAAAAAAAAAAATTGTCAGCCCCTTGACCAGGCATGTGGCTTATGCCTATAATCCCAACACTTTGGGAGGCTGAGGCAGGTGGATCTCTTGAGCCCAGGAGTGTGAGACCAGCCTAGGCAACATGGAGAAACCCTGTCTCTAAAATGAAGTACAAAAATTAGCTGGGTGTGGTGGCACATTCCTGAAGTCCCAACTACTTGGGAGGCTCAGATGGGAGGATCGTTTGAGCCCAGGAGGCAGAGGTTGCAGTGAATTGAGATTGTTCCACTGAACTCCAGCTTGGGTGCCAGAGTGAGACACTGTCTCCAAAATAATAATAATAATAATAATAATAATAACAACCATAAATAGATAGATAGATAGATAAAATTGTAAGCCCCAACTCTTGCTATCCCAATTTCCTAATTTAATTTCCTTCTTGGTCTTTATTACCACCCAACCTCCTATATCTTTTACTTATTTATTTTGTTTATTGACTTTCTTCCCCACTAGACTATAAGCATAATGACCATGGGAATTTTTTATTCATTTCTGCATATCGAACAGTTAGAACAGTGCCTAACCTATAGTAGGTACTCAATAATAAATGAATTAATAGGTGGATCTCCTCACCTCTGGTTCATTTCCATTCAATTGCCCCATTGCTATCTGATTTATCTTTTTAAAGATAAATCTTTTATTACAAAACAATTGCTCTCTGGCTAAAATATTTGTATTGCTTTTAAGATAAAAAAAACTCCTGAGGAAGGCTACCAGGCACCCTCTAATTTGGCTCCAATCTGGCTTTCAGCCTCACCTTTCCATCATGCAACACACATTTCAGCCACCCACAACTTCTCCTTTCTCCTGTTCATACCTCCTGGCCTTTGCACAGGACAGGCTGTCTGTACGAAGTATTCTACCTTCTCTCCATAATAATTTCTTCATCCTTCAAGACAGTATTGAAATGTCACTTTTATGAAGATGTCCCAATTCTGCCTGACCTCCATGCTTCCCTGAATGCCAGACATCCCTCTCTTATACGTACTCTTTATCACAATGCATTGCCATTATTTGTCCATGTGTCTGTCTCGCCAGTCAGCTCTTTAAGAACGAGAAGCATGCCTGATTTATCTTTATGTCCCTGTCAACATAACCATCCCCGCCTTCAGACCTATGTACTTACTAAATAAGTTATCAATCAATTAGGCCAATGTGGTTGTCTGAATAGCCCCAAAGATGTCCATGTCCTAATTCCCAGAACCTGTGAATATGTTACCTTCTGTGGCAAAAAGGGCTTTGTAGATGTGATTAAATTAAGGATCTTGAGACGAAGGAATTATCCTGGATTGTCCGGTTGGTGACCAAGGTAATCGCAAGAGTCCTTAAAAGATGGAAGAGGGAGGCAGGAGAGCAGAGAAAGAGATGTAAGGTCCCATGCAGAGATTGGAGCAATGTCATCGTTGGGAAGGGGACACGAGCCAAGGAATGTGGGCAGCCTCAGAAGCTGAAAAAGGCAAGGAGTGGATTCTCCCCCGAAAGTCCCTACAGGAAACACAGCCCTGATATCTTCATTTCAGTCCCCAAAAACCATTTTTCAGATTCTAACCTTCAGGACTAGAAAATAATAAATCTGGGTGGTTTTAAGCCACTAAGATTGTGATATTTTATTACAGTAGCAATAGGAAGCTAATAGCACCAATATTAATGAAAAATCAGAATCAGAGTGTGGTGGGCTGAGTCCTGTGTGGATAGGGCAACCGACATGGAAGTGGCAAATCAGGGTGAATATTCCCAGCGTATCAAGAGATGGATACCATCTCCCAATGTTGCATCATCCCTCTTGCCCTGTGGTTCTTACACAATAGTAGACATTGGCAATACGTGCTACAAAACATTATGCTGTGCTAATTACCTGTTCGGCCTTCAGTCTGGGCTTCCTTGCTAAAGAGGCCTCCACTGACAGTTAGGATCTGTATCTTGTATTTCTTGCCTGGTATTAGATCTTCAAATTTGTGTTGCTTAGTGGTGGCTGGCTCTGATGTGTTGCGCAGAAGGATTCCATTTTCAGTCAGAAGCAGGATATCATATCTTTCTGCCACACCAGCAGCTTTTTGCCAACTTACTATTAAGGAATGACTGCTGTATGCATTGTCTGCAATTACTCCTTGGACAGATGCTGGAACTGCAGAGAGACAAGTGGAGCAACAAAATATAGATTTTATCACTTAGGGTAAAGTAATCAATTGAGAAAAACTCCTGAATCAACTGCAGGTAGATGATGCGTTTGCTTTATTTGTGTGGCATTGATACTTTCTGTGTGCCCTTATGGAGAAAAGAGGAGAAAGGATTTCCTGGCTTAACCTGTCTGTATAACTACTTTGATTCTCCATTGTTTTCTCTGAATTTAAATAGGATCTCAGATAGAAAAGTTAGTGAAGATGGCCCTGATAAATATGCAGAGTGGTGCACACCTATGAGTCTAGAAAGTGAAGGATGCTGAGCAAGTTCATATTCAGTGAATGTGGGTTTGATAGTGAATTATATTTCTTATTTAGACTTTTATTACTAACATTAACTAAGGTCAAAACTTCAAGTCTTGACTTCAGCGGTAGTATATACTAGTATTTGTTCTATAGCTCCTGAAGTGAAAGGCAAAATAGTATTACTGTTTTTATAACAATATTTTCTGTCCTATGTTCATTTCTTTTCTCATTCTACATAATCTTCTTAGATTTCATCTATGTCCATGGTTTGAAGTGTCACCCATAAGGTGACAACTCCTGAATTTAAACTTTCAGTTGTTTCTCCTGCTTTTGCAAATCACATCTCTCCCTGAATGTACCACAGACACCCAACACTCAACATGTCCAAATTGGACTCCTCATCTCCTTCCCACAATGTTCGCGTTGTCTTTTGTCTCTATCTCTTGGTTCAAGTCAGAAACTTCAATTGTCACTCTCAACCTTGTCTATATAATCAAATATGAGTTTTATTTCTGTATCCTAAATCTTCTTTCTCTTGAATCTAGCCACTCTCTGTGTGCTGCCACTACCTCAGAACCATATCATATCCTTTAGCAAGTATAAATGAGACCATACATTATTTGCAGCTGCCTACTGACCAGTCACTTGCGTCCTTTCCTCCCACTCTTTCAATCTGCAGACTCTTATCTAGCATATTTTTATAGCACTCCCATGCTGATGGCCCTACAGTGGCTCTCTATAATTCCAAAACACCTTCACAGGCAAACAAAGCTGTTCGTGATTTGGTCTATCTACTTACCTGGCCACACGGCTCACATTTTTTATTCTAGTATACTTTTGTTTTCTATACTTTTAGTAGAGGTGGGGTTTTGCTACATTGCCCAGGCTGTTTTTGAACACCTGGACTCAGGCTATCCACTCACCTTGGCCTCCGAAAGTGCTGGGATTACAGGCATGAGCCACCATGCCCAGCCTTTATTCTAGTATACCAAATAAGGTGTAGGTCCCCAAATGTGCCATCCTTTCTCCTACCTCCAGGGCTTTGTTTTCTCTGTTGGAACCAAGTCAACTTACATTTCACTTGGATGACTTCCTAGTCTTTCTTTAAATATTACTTCCTCCTGAAAGCCTTCCCTGATTATTCTTGTTTGCTCCTCTAACATCTCATAACCACTTTTATCTTAGCACTTACCATGTTTTACTGTCATTGCCTTTTACTTTTCTGTCTCCTTCACTAGATTATAATGTTCTTGAGGTCAGGGGCTCTGCCTTGCTACTGAATGCCCACTTTCTTTTTTCTGAGACAGAGTCTCACTCTGTCACCAGGCTGGAGTGCAGTGGCATGATCTTGGCTCATTGCAACGTCCACCTCCCAGGTTCAAGTGATTCTCCTGCCTCAGCCTCCTGAGTAGCTGGGACTACAGGTCTGCACCACCATGCCCGGCTAATTTGTGTTTTTTTGGTATTTTTAGAAGAGATGGGGTTTCACTGTGTTGGCCAGGATGGTCTCAATCTCTTGACTTCGTGATCCACCCCCCTCAGCCTCCCAAAGTGCTGGGATTACAGGCATAAGCCACTGCACCCAGCCAAATGCCCACTTTCTAACACAGGGTTTGTCATAGGGTTAAAGATATACAGATAAAGATATAAACATAGATATGAAATAGAGGCATAGTAGGGCATGGTATAGAAACCTCAGGCCCCGCAGCTAAAAAAGTGGTCATGAGAATGGGAGGCATCTAAGAAGTATTGTGTCACAGTGGAGAGGGCATGAGGTTTGGGGCCAGACAGACCTAGACTTAAATTATAGCTTTAGGTCTTATTATATATGTATCCTTGATACTGTTTCATAAACTTTCTGAGCCATACTTTCCTCATCTGTAAGAGGACTATAGTATGACTAGAGATCTTTCAAAAATAATACATGAATAGTGATATTGATATAAACAGATTTATTTATACATTTGATACTTATTTTTTTTAGCTCTACCAGGTAAGGTAGATGGCACAGATGTGTACTTGTTCTTAAAAGGTAGAACTTTTGAAAAATGCATAATTATGGACGTCTCCATATTAAAATTTATTTATTTATTTATTTATTGATTGATTGATTGATTTATTGAGACAGGGTCTCACTCTGGTTACCCAGGCTGGAGTGCAGTGGCATGATCATGGCTCACTGCAGCCTTGACCTCTCAGGCTCAGGTGATTCTTCCACCTCAGCCTCCCAAGCAGCTGGAACTACAGGTGTGCGCCACCACGCCTGGCTAATTTTTTGTATTTTTAGTAGAAATGGGATTTAGCTGTGTTGTCCAGGCTAGCCTCGAACTCCTGAACTCAAGCAATCTACCTGCCTTGGCCTTCCAGGGTGCTGGGATTACAGGCGTGAGCCACCGTGCCCAGCCTGCTTGTTAAAATTTAAAATTTTATTATCCTTTAGCAAGTCTAAAAATTTGTTCAAATGATTTGGTTTCTGATTCCCTTTCATTTGTTTTGAAGATCTCTATTAAGAGAAAAAGGCAAAGAATAAATGAGTAAGGCTCTTGAAACCATTGAATTGTACAAACTTTGGTGGGTTTAAATTTGGGTTTGTGAATAGCTGAGCCCATTCACTGTCCCATTTTGGAGAACCATGAGGCATTCTACAATCTAGCCCTTCTCCAGGTGGATGCTCACCTGTCCGCCCAACCACATTTATCTGATTCTTCAGGGACCCGCTGACTGAGGCAATCATGATCTGGTACTGCTCCCCGGCCTCCAGTCTGTGGAACGTGTGCTCAAAGATGTGCTTGGGAACAGTCTGAGAGTCAACCTTTTGGCTGTGCCTCAATGCCGACACTGTGTAGGAATCAACGTCTCCCCCACCAGGAGTCCAGTTCACCGTCAGGCTATCTGTTGCTCCATTAGGAGAAATGTGAATATTTTTGACAGCACTAGGAACTAAAAAAGAAAATAAATTTAAAAGTCATCACTTAAAGAATGAACTGTTGAAATTTTCAACCAAAGTTTTGAATGCTTCTGATGTTTTGGCACCCACTGAGAGAACTCACATGAAAAAGAAAGTAACAATTTGCCACTTTTCTCTGATTTTTCTGTGTGAACTGAAGTTGATGGGGGAAAGCTTAGGGGGACGTCAAGGCCGGTGAGTGGAAATGAGGAATGCTAATTATATAGCGTTGGGCTAGTTAGGGTGCCTTGGTCCAAGTTTTGGTTTTCTCACTCACTAGCTGTGGGACTACAGGCAAATTACTTGACCTCTGTAACTTTCACTTTCTTCATTAGGAAAAACGGCAGTGATGATAATACTAACCAGCCAATAGAGTTGTGAAGATTGATTCTTATTTTATTTTATTTTATTTTTTGAGGTAGGGTCTTGCTCTGTTGTCCAGGCTGGAGTGCAGTGCATGATTATGGCTCACTACAGCTTGTACCTCCTGGGCTCAGGTGATCCTCCCACCTCAGCCTTCCCAGTAGCTGGGACTACAGGGACACACCACCATGCCCAGCTAATTTTTTGTATTCAGGTTTTGTCATGTTGTCCAGGCTGTGCTTGAACTCCTGAGCTCAAGCTATCCTCCTGCCTCAGCCTCCCAAAGCATTGTGAAGACTGAACAAGATGTAGACATAGAATGCTTTGCTATGGGTCTGGTTCATGGTGAACTGTCAGTACATGTTAACTACTACGACAACACTCCTGAAAGAGTTCTAAAGAAGTGATTTCCAAGTAACAGTTCTTAATCTGTGTGCCTCACAAGCAACAGTTAATCACATCAGTTCATTGCTATTTCTCTGAAAGCACCCCCCGCCCCACACTGACATCATACTTTATTTTCGTTCATCCAGGTTGGACAACATCATTGTCACTATCAAGATGACTCTGTCCCTTCTTGCTCTCTCCCTTTTACCCTTCCAAATCCTCAATCGAAATGCCCGGACTACCCAAAAGTTAAATACACCACTGTATCTGTTCAGGTTCAAGAACAGTACTTCACATTACCTGTGAAGCCCTCAATGAAGGCTGACTGCTGTACATCTCCACTAATCGTCAAGACAAGAATTTTGTATTGGCGGCCTGGTGTTAGGGAAGTAAATCGATACTCAGTTGCAGTATTTACAAGGTGAAAAGGAGGGAATACTTTCATGTCATTGAAGAGCAGCTGGATCTCATACTGGTCGACATCCCCATTAGCTCCTGACCAAGACACATGCAAGTCCTCAGTGCTCCTGTTCCGCAATGTTAGATCCTTAACAGGCTCTGGAACTAGGGAGAAAAATGAGAAGACATTTCAGGAAAGGAACTGATCAGAGTTTACCTACATAATAATTTATGAATCACATTCAAGGAACTGGCAACATCTCCCTTCCCCAAATAAACCACTAGCACTACTTCATGCATAATTAAACAAGAAAAATTGGAAGCAGCTATTAAAATTGTAATTTTTTTCCCTGACATAAATGTTACATGATCAGCATTGGTAGAACATAATTATAAAATGAGTTATGATCTCGACCAGAAGATAAAACAAGAAGTCTAGAATTTAAATGCCATGATGCAGGAAGACAGGGAAGAAAAATGGGACATTTAGCCTTCTTGCTCTCTCGCTCTCTCACTATGTTTGCTTTTATCTACCAATAAATATTCTGTAATTATAGGCCATGGCTTGGCTAAATGATGTTAGCGCCAAGTGAGACTTACTGGGAATGTAATGTACTAATGAATAAGCAGAAAAAATTCAAGGTTCAGGTAAATTACTCAGAGACTTTCAAGTCCAACCAACGGTCGGATTTTGCAATCGTTCCACTTACTTGTTCTCCCATTCCCTTGTTCACTGGCTTCATATTGTCCACTTTTTGTAGTAACAGTGACACTGTACAACCGTCCAGGGACTAGCTGAACAAATACACATTCGTTTTCCGACTTGGGAATGCTTTTGGTTTCGATGAAGTTGTTTTTGTTTTTAATGGTGACTTCATAGTGATCAAAGTCTCCAGTGGCATGCACCCAGGATACCCTTAAATAGTCACTCCTGGCTGAGTTGCTAACACTGACTCCCTGGACTTTGTCAGGCACTGAAAACGAAACAGAGAATGACTAAATATGTATTAATTCTGAGTGAGTAATTGATCACAGATGACAACCCGGGACAATAAAAAAGAGTAAATTATTATTGTGTGTATTAAAAAGAAAAATCTTAGACCTTAGATCACAAATTTCTGGAGGGGAAAGACTGTTACACTATGTGAAGTGATTAAATGGATCTTTTAACACAAGCTGATGAACTCATTCTAAGCCTGCTGTTTGCCTGCACAAAATGTCATGTATAAGATGGAACATTAAACATGATGGTTGATGATTAATATGAGTGATGGTAAATGATATAGATAATTCCAGCATACCTTGCTGACTCAAAAGTTACCAAGAAGAATATAAGCAATCCCCCCAATCCCCGCCAAAAAAAAATGAGGCTATGCACGGTGGCTCACACCTATAATCCTAACACTTTGGGAATCTGAGGCCGGCAGATCACTTGAGGTCAGAAGTTTGAGAACAGCCTGGCCAACATGGTGAAAGCCCATCTCCACTAAAACACAAAAATTAGCCAGGCATGGTGGTGCACACCTGTAGTTCCAGCTACTCGGGAGGCTGAGATGGAAGAATCACTGGAACCCAGGAGGAGCAGGTTGCGGTGAGCTGAGATCACATCAAGCCCCTGCACTCCAGCCTGGGTGATGGAGCAAGACTCTGTCTCATTAAAAAAAAAAAAAAGAAAAGAAAAGAAAAACAAAAATGGAAGAAGAAACACATATGGTTAATTGCATAATAAATGAAGAGATTTTCCACATTATTGGTGATCAAGGAAATGCAAGTCAAAACCACAGTGAAATACTGTTTTATACACATTTGGCTGGCAAAATAAAAAAACCCTATAAAAACCAAGTGTGGAAGAATATGTACAGGAGACTGGATAATGAATATATACATATACACACATACACACACAGTGAATGTTATATAATAGTTATAATTAATTCCTTAACTCAAAACACAAAAATAGGGATTTCTTCTCCCTAATATCAAAACAAAATATGGATGAATCTTATCTATATAATAAGTAAAACATCTAAGTCGCTGATATTAAATACTGCATTAAAAATACCTTTTAAATAATGTTAAAAATGACAAAAAATTTTAAAACCAGTAATTTTAGGCCTGTATATAAATGCAATAAAACTATGCAAGAGGGAAAGCAAGCAAGAGGTGAACATAGGAGTCAAGATGTTGGCTACTTTTGAGTGAATTCGTGAGGTGGGGACCACATATTTCGATGTAGGTTATTGTCAAGATCCTAGCTTTTATTTTAGGTAGTGGTTGGTTTCTTGTGTACATGTTAACTTATTAAAAATTACTAACTAGATGCCTAAAAAGTAAAGGTGGCAGTTGATGCATGGTTTCTTTTTTCTTTTTTTCTTTTTTTTTGAGACATCACTCTGTCGCCCAGGCTGGAATACAGTGGTGTGATGCTGGCTCACTGGAAACTCCACCCTTTGGTTCAAGTGATTCTCCTGCCTCAGCCTCCCAAGTAGCTGGGATTACAGCTGCCTGCCACTATGCCTAGCTAGTTTTTTATATTTTTAGTAGAGATGGGGTTTCACCATATTGGTCAAGCTGGTCTCGAACTCCTGACCTCATGATTCGCCCACCTCAGCCTCTTAGGGGATGCATGGTTTCTTGAACCAAGAATTATGATTAATACAATTTTGTGCATGTGAGGTTCTTTCTAATATATAAACAAAACCATTCTGTATATCTGTGGTCCCCTCCCCAACCAGTACATAAATATATGCATGTTACTAGGAATGCTGTGGAATAAGGCAATTCTGTATTTAGAGCATGATATTAAGGAAATTTCATTTTTCCATTTGGGGCTGAATTTTAATTCAACAGTAGGCCACAGATTCATTACTATTTCACTGTAACTGGACATTATACATATTTGAGGAGGAGCATTGAAAAGAGGCACGAACTCGGATCCAGGGTACTAAACTCTTGTCCCAATACTACCATGTCCTCTAGGCCTGTACAGCCTCTCTCTGTATTTGGTATGTATTAGGGGTTTCTGATCTGACCACATGCCAAGACTGTGTTGAATTTTTCTCCTCTACTTTTTCTCAAATCATGAAATGATCCAGAAATTTCAGTATTTTGGCATAGAAGCTCCATTTTTCATATGCTTCTCACACCTACAAGTTGCATTAGCATCCTTTGTTGCATTGTGTTTACTGATTAGCATTTGGAATATAGCTCACCACAGATACAGAGCAAGGACAGATATGCTTTCTCCAAGATATTTACCTAAAACCAATTACAGTGTTGTTATCACTGTCATCACAGAGTTAAGGAAAGGAAATTATGAAGTGGCATGCATGGGCTAAGAAAGGTCAATGATCCAGGCAATTTGCTGAAGGCAAAGCAACTATTACAGGAAGAAAAACCTGGCTGAATATCACATTAAGTCAATAAGGAGTTCACCGGGTGGAACAGGGGATAATTTGTGGAGACCTGCCTTGTTATACAGTGAGATGATGTGATACAGAATTAGAAATACTGGTATTTTCACCCAAAGTGTAGAACAAGAGCATCAGAAATGGAAAAGGGCATTAAGATAATCAGCCAAAATCATCAAGAGAACAACTCAGACATGACTCTCCAATTAAACTGATTTGTCGGGGGCAATGATTTGCCTCCATTAGTCATGCACCAAGTCCAAGTTCATGCTGGTCAAGGAGTCAAGAGGGTGCACTGAATAAAGAATCACTTTCTTGCATTTAAAATCAATCTCAGCGAAAGGCTTTGCAATAGTAAAGTCATACGGATAGGAAATCATCATGAATTGACATTGGAAGGAAGCAAGGGGTTGGTGGTTAGGTAACACATCCTTTAATTTCTGGTGATTTTTATGCTCCAAGTTGATTAATATGAGACCCTGACATAAGACTGCTTTGTAAATAGAAATCTGCTTTTCAGATCTAAGTCGTTATTGTGATTGTCAGTGTAACTGGGCTTAAAATTATTGGCAGGTAGGGATAATCTCTTTGTATCCCTGACTAGTGCTCTAGGATACAGCGTTATGGAATAGACATAGCCCTGGAGCTAGGCTGAGCTCCACTACCGGCCAGCCCTGCAACCTTGGAGAAGCCACACTCCTTCTCTGGGATTTCGTTTATATCCAAATGGGGAAATATGATTAGATCATTCTAAGGACCCCTTCAATGCCAGCATCCTGTAACAATATAAATCAGAGGTTCTTAGCTTTCTGGGGGTCACAGAAACCATGAGAATCTGATAAAAGCCATGGACTCTTTCTTCTCCAAGAAATGCATATACCTTTCCTATCCCCAGCCACTTCATAAACAATTTCAGGGGTTACTACATTCGTAAAGTCTCCCATGAACCATGGACTCCCAGGTGGAACCCCTGATCTAAGTGATTTCTGATAATTCCTTTGCCAAATATTTACTGAGTGCCTACTAAGTCCCAGGTCCTGTGCTACATAATAGGATAAGGACAATTGTCCCAGAACCTCATGGAAAAACTGACATTTTAAAATACAGAAATAAACTCATAGCTTAGTAGGAAACATTTAACAATGTATTGATGCCAACCTTAGGCAGAAATCTCAGGTATAAACCCCAGAAAGCATACATATATTGGGAAAATGGCAGCTATTTAAATTTAATTCTTTCCAGCATATTGGACTGAACATTCATTTCCTTTGCTAAGATTTTTGCTCCCTAATCCCCAGAACAATAAAAGTTCACATTTTCACCTTGTGTGAAAAAGGATGAACAGTGGTTTTGACCAGCAGACATTTCAGGATGAATTTTAGGATGGAGAGCTTTGTAGGCACTGGAGTCATTCAGAACTGGGTTTAAAACCAGGATCTGAAACATACTGGGTGTTTAACAAGGTAAACAGCTGGACAAGTTACTTGACCTCCCTGAACCTTGGTTTCCTGATCTGTAAAATGGGAATCATAACAATGACTATCTCAATAAGGCATTCATATGGGTTAGTTAAGACATATAAAGCCAGGCCCTAGCAACAAAAAGTACTCCATAGATGGGAATACTTTTTTTTTTTTTTTTTTTGAGACGGAGTCTCACTGTCTCCCAGGCTGGAGTGCAGTGGCACGATCTCGGCTCACTGCAAGCTCCACCTCCCAGGTTCATGCCATTCTCCTGCCTCAGCCTCCCGAGTAGCTGGGACTACAGGCACCTGCCAGCATGCCCAGCTAATTTTTTGTATTTTTAGTACAGACAAGGTTTCACCGTGTCAGCCAGGATGGTCTCGATCTCCTGACCTCGTGATCCACCCACCTTGGTCTCCCAAAGTGCTGGGATTACAGGCGTGAGCCACCACGCCCAGCCAAACGGGAATACTTTTTACGCTATTTGAATATAATGGAAATTCTAGTCACACAGGGTCTGCTCACATAAGGAGTTTCTTGGGTTAAAATACAAAGACTCCATAACAGTTCTGTGATCTCAAGGGCCTTTCATCCCATCATTACAGAATTGCTACAGCTCTGTGGTGCCCTGAGCCACATGTGAATTGGTTCTTACAGAGCCCTGAACCTTCATACAGCCTTACCTGTCCACTCTTGGCTGAAGGAGTGATTTTCATACTTGCCACTCCTTGTAGTTATGGTCACGGTGTAAAGGCGGCCTGGGGTGAGGGAGCTGAAGGAACATTCTCTGACAGACTTGGCAATGACAAGGGACTGAACCACCCTGCCGTCATGAGACAACGTCACCTCATAGTTATCCACATCTCCGGGCGCCGGCAGCCAGGAAACGCTGAGGTAGTCATTACGACCGGAATTGTTCACCGTTACTCCACTCACACTGGAAGGGACTGTGATTTTGAAAGGTAAGGGGGGATTCAAAAAGAAAAACACAGTCAAAAGTTTGGATTGTCTATTGCAGTCAGCACAAATCGTGGACTCAAGATCTAATCTGATTACATAAGAGGTCAAGGAAGTGTGAGGATTTCACTCAGCTTCTAGAAGCTGAGTGTTGTTACATCAGAAGGCTAATCAAAATAAAAATGTCAGGAGGCCTTTGGGATGCCTCATAAATACAAGGATGCCACTACTGAAGTTTTATAGGGTTGCTTGTAAAGCATTTCAAGTTGAGGCATCTTTATAGAATGTTTTAGAAGGTTCCTTGTAAGAAAGGGAGCAAATATTTCAACAATCCAAATGAATAAACTTGAACCAAACTTACCAATAAAGCAAAAATGTTTGAGTGGAAAGGGGAAGAATATGGTAGCTTTTCTAAAGACCTTAAACTGGGATAGCTTCAATCTTCTTGTGATGAAGTTATTTATTCCCGGGAAGTAATAGCAAACACAAGAGGGACCGTTTTCCCTTTGCAAAGCATTTCCTGCCCTCTAGTGGTAAGAAGTAAGTCTAAAAACCTGTCTTGGAAATAAGTCTGGAAGCTGGACCAACCAAGGGCAGAGAGAACTATTATTGGCAATAATGGGTTTTCTGATGTCAACTATAATCATTTGCTTATATGAATTGGGGATTAGTGTCACAAATGTTTACTGAGAACCAGCTATTTGTCAGGTATACAAAAATGAAAAAAGGCATGAATGTCTTCAAGAAGTTCTCTGGCTGGATGTATAGTCAGCAAATTAGTAACTGCAGTATTGAGTAAAAGTTTAACCACATATCGGAAATAGGTGCCCATAAATAGTACTGCCCTAAATGAATATGGGGGTAAAATATTACAGTATATATGAACCGCACTACTGTTGTAATCATTAGTTGATTAACTTAACAGTTCCATGTGATTGTCAATTTCAGTACATCACTTAAAATGGACAGGATTTGGCTAGATGACTTCTGAGAATCCTTCTAATGTAATATGCTCTGACTTTGTGAATTAAGCCCCAAAGCATACCTCATACTTAAAAGCACTTATCCATCACTAAAAATTATAAACTGCATTCTAGTGAACAATTCTGGTAATGTTGATCCACATATATGGACATTTCCTAGATACAAAGTTGAACTTTTTAGCCAGGAGATTTATATATTGGTACATCTCTTCCTTCCTTTTCTTTCCTTCTTTTCTTCCTTTTTTCTTTCTTTCCTTCCTTCCTTCCTTCCACCATTCAACCATCCATACATCCTTTGGTTGCTCTCAAAAGCAACTCATTAAGCTTGTTTTTAAAAACTGCTCGAAATATTTGCAACTACTTTTTTTTTTTTTTGAGATGGAGTCTCATTCTGTCGCCCAGGCTGGAGTGCAGTGGTACGATCTCGGCTCACTGCAAGCTCCGCTTCCCGGATTCATGCCATTCTCCTGCCTCAGCCTCCCGAGTAGCTGGGACTACAGGAACCTGCCACCACGCCCAGCTAATTTTTGTATTTTTAGTAGAGATGGGGTTTCACCATGTTAGTTAGGATGGTCTCAATCTCCTGACCTTGTGATCCGCCTGCCTCGGCCTCCCAAAGTGCTGGGATTACAGACGTGAGCCACCGCACCTGGCCCTAACATTTTATTAGAAAAGACACAATTATCAAAAGTTTTGGAAAAAATATGATTCACTTGTTTAAGAAAAAGTAGATACAAAATTTGTTTTTCCTTTAGGATGAGCATTTTCCCAGATTAGAATTAGATTTGGTAAGTATATCTAAATATCTTTAATTTCAAATATTCTGCCATCTCATCCGGGCTAGGAGGGTTTATTTATATGTTTCAACTCAGTGGAAACAAGTGAAATATAAGAATACTTTTCAGAATTATTTCAGTATTGACTAATATTTCAGCAATTTGAGGAGATGATAAGGATTATCAAGGCCATAGCCACTGAATTCTTTACAATTGACTATGTACAAAATTTACTAAAAGAGGCACCTTTCAAAATCCCTATTATTATTCTTCTATAGGAGTCTCCCATTTCCCTCCTTTATCATGATAATGTGCACCTTTCATATGTTTGAGTAAAATAACTCATGCTCGTATTTATTCATATTTGGTTCTCTCCTCAAAACTTTATGACCATTCTTCAAATAATTTCTTGTCCCTTTTTTAAATGCTTCTATGATATAATATGGGTCAAATACTTGTACCTTTATTCTAATTAAAATATAGGTGTAAAAATAATTGTAAGTCCCACTTATTTAAAGTGCCCAGTTATTTCAAGAGATAGCACAGACTAGACTATTTTAGTAGCTCACAACAAGTTGGACAATCTTCGTGGTATTTAAAATGAGAATCAACCTGTGTGGCAGAATATGGTTCCCCAACCGTTTCCTTTCCTCGTGACACACAGCTAGACTACATTTCTCAGGCTGCCAGGCAGTCAGATGCAGCCGTGTAACTGAGTTCTGGCCAGTGGAATGTGGGTAGAAGTGAAATGTCTACTCCCAAGTCTGATGAGTTGTACCCCTCTCCCACCTCCATTCTCTGGAGAAATGTGGAGAGCTCTGAGGACCTACAGCAAAGAAGAGCCACCGATGGTAGGAGACTGGATCCCAACCAATAGAGGCATCCAATCATAAACACCCACATTATACAGTGTCTAAGCATGAATTAAATCAGTCTAATGTGACTGATAAAACTGCACATCACTGGGAAATGAATGCAAGGTCGTCCTCCACTCCTCTCCTCAGCCTTCTTATTATTTCTCCTTGCCTATTCTGACACCCAGGGTAGGAGTGAATTATTGTGCATGGATTAAAACACAGAAGCTGAGGGAAGTAAGTTAATGGCACAGCTAGGACCAACACCTAGGCCTCCTGATTTCCATGCTAAGCTTTTCAGCACCCCCCCCCCCCAAGTATGCTACACCAATGGATGGTGCCAAGAACCATTAAAAGAAAGGAAAGAAAATATCAGGGAGAAAGATGCAGGTGACGGGCCAGGCGCAGTGGCTCACACCTGTAATCCCAGCACTTTGGGAGGCCGAGGCGGGCGGATCACGAGGTCAGGAGATCGAGACCATCCTGGCCAACAAGGTGAAACCCCGTTTCTACTAAAAGTACAAAAATTAGCAAGGTGTGGTGGTGTGTGCCTGTAATCCCAGCTACTAGAGAGGATGAGGCAGGAGAATCGCTTGAACCAGGGAGTCGGAGGTTTCTGTGAGCCAAGATCGTGCCACTGCACTCCAGCTGGGTGACAAAATGAGACTCCATCTTGAAAAAAAAAAAAAAGAAAGATGCAAGTGACAATGTCAGCTGTCATAGAATGAGGGAAATGGGCCTACACCAGTGAATTTCTACCAAGACTATGAAACATCTCAGTGACTTCATTGTTCTTCTGGGAGATTTAATGAAGTTAATGTCCTCTGGGTACATTAAGTAGGTGAGATTCATCATTTTGAAAAGAGATGCATCTATGATGCCTGCAGCTGATAAACAGAATTTGAGTGTTGAGGATGCAGAAGGAGAAGCCTGAAATCCAACTTACAATAATTATATAAAATTAAGTAGACAAGGTCACGAATAATTATCAAAGCTTCTATTGGTTTTATGTAATTTTTTTCTTTCTAAGAAATGAACATAAATTTTATATATCATATGTTAACTTTTATGTTCTTTCATTGTATTACGTACAATGGTTCGGTGCCATGGCTCCCTGATACACATGACCATAATGACACTTATTTGTTTACTTAACTTTCTAACAAGGAGCTCTTAAGGTCCAGAAAAATTATTTAGATAGCATATTAAATACTTGTTTAATGTTGCTTATGAAAATATATGACACCTGAAAATTAGATCAACTCCACCTCTGACCATATTAATTAGAGATCATTTTCTTTTTATGTCTTACAAACCAAGAATATAAAAGAGTGAAAGATGCTTTCTTTGGGAGGTTAGTTTTGTTTTTTATCTCATTATTATTTACCTTTATGGGGACATAAACATTTCAAAGGAAATCAATTGAATAAGGGATAAGTCTAGGCGTCAAGTGAGGCGCTCTTACATGTTCATTGGAGATGTTAAAATATTCAGACAGCTGCAGTGGCTCATGCCTGTAATCCCAGCACTTTGGGAGGCCAAGGCGGGCAGATCACCTGAGGTCAGGAGTTCGAGACCAGCCTAACATGGAGAAACCCTGTCTCTACTAAAAATACAAAGTTAGCCAGGTGTGGTGGCACATGCCTGTAATCCCAGCTACTTGGGAGGCTGAGGTAGGAGAATCGCTTGAACCCAGGAGGCGGAGGTTGTGGTGAGCCGAGATCATGCCATTGCACTCTAGCCTGAGCAATAAGAGTGAAATTCCATCTCAAAAAAAAAAAAAAAAAAAATTCAGAATTTATTCTCTCTTACCATCACCCATCGCCCAATTTCCATTCCATATACCTTCTGGGTGGCATTGAAACGTAGCTTTTAGGAAGGCCAGGGATAAGTCTGATTTTAGGATATTTCTATAATATTCTATTTAGGGGTCTCATGTACTCTCATCTTAGTAAGTTACAGATACATATCTCTACTTCTTACCTGTTCTTCCCTCCACCACCACTTGTCGGGAAGAGATCCCTCCACTCACTGTTGTTACTACCACGGAGTACAGGCTGCCGGACTTGAGAGAGTGGAAGCTGTACCCGCTGGTCTCACTGGAGATGCTTTCATTTTTAATGACCACATTTTCATGGATCAGTAAGACTTGGTAAAATTCTACATCTCCTTGTGCCTGGGTCCAGTTAGTAAACAGACTACTGGTCATTCCTTGGTTGGCCACATGCAAGTCAGTCACTTGGGCAGGCACTAAAACAGTAGACAGAAGACAAAACAAATGACACTTAGTCACCTTAAGAAAGTGTAAGAAAAATGAGTCAAAAAATGGAGACAGACTTGAAAGTGCTAAAAATAATTTTTGTGTTGTTGCTATAGACTCTCAGTTCTATTTCCTGTGGCATATGGAGAACTCCTCTAGAGAAGCTTTAGTACTTTGAAAAAGCTGCTTATATAGGGAATCAAAATTATTTAGGATCCAAGGATGAGATGATGCATGCTTATTAAGTGGTTTTGGTTTTAAATTTTAGATAATGAAGGCTGCTGTTTTTGAAAACTGCTTAGTTAATATGATTTTATCTGTCCTTAGCCCACGAGAATTCAAAGCTATCTAATCTACCTGAGCCAATGATTGTTCTGGGGTGGTACTGGGAATTCCCTTCAGTCTGGTGAGTATGGTCTAGCAAACTGGTTAGTTCTATACTGGCACATTCTCAAAGGGGCTGTTATTATATATGAACATGTAATAATATAAATTATAATAATATATATTACAAAGTAATAACAACAACAACTACTGAATGTCTACTATGTGCCAGTTATGAGCTATATGTCTCATGAAGGTTACATTATTTGATACCCATTCAGAACTCTATAAAGTTGATTTTATTATTCCATTTATTAATGAGGAAACCAAGGATCATAAAATGTAAGTAATTTATATCACAGTGCTAACACATAGCCAACCTGGAACTGAAAGCTAGATTTGTCTAACCCCTAAGCCTGTGTCCTTTTCCTAATTAACAACATTTATTGCTTCCAACTTATCGTTTAACAAATCTTATACACAGATCTTGAAGTTGGCACTTGGTCAACATACATTCTTCTTTGTGCCTCTTTCCTGAATTATAATAATCAAAGGGATTGTAACCTTGGCACCCCTCTTTCTCAAAGTTCATTGACCTCTGGATTAAGATACAAATGTGTTCACTAAAAAAATCCTACTGTATATGGATCAGATTAAATTATAATTCTAAAGATTCAATTTTAATTCTAAATTTTATATGAAAGGCAAACAGCTACAGTGTCCAAAGCAATTTTGAAAAAGAAGAATAAAGTTAGAAGACTAACACCACCTGATTTCACTAAAAATCTTGTAATCAAGACAGGATAATACTGGCAAAGGGCAGACAGAAACATAGATTGATGGAACAGAATTGAGAGTCCAGAAATAGAAGAACAAATATGCTATCAACGGATTTTTTTAGAGATCCAAAGGCAATTTCATGGAGAAAAGATATTCTTTTCAATACATAGGGCTGGAATTACCAGGTATCTATATGCAAAGAAAAAAACCTTCACCCATATCTCACATCATATATAAAAATTAACTCAAAATGGGTCGCAGACCTACATTTAAAACCTAAAACTATAAACTTCCAGGAGAAAATCTTTGTGACCTTGATTTAGGCAAATATTTTTAGATATGACACCACAGCATGATTTATGAAAGACAAAAATTGATAAATTAGACATCAAAATGAAAAACCGCTAGAAAACATTTTGACCGAGGACAAACTAACAATCCTATTTTAAAATTCAGCAAAATACTTGAACAAAAACTTCCCCAAAGAAGATAAATGGGTGACAAATAAGCTTGTGAAAGGATTCTCAAAGCCATTAGACATCAGAAAAAGGCAAATTAAAACCACATGAGATATCATTATCTTATTATAATGGCTATTCCATTAGAATGGCTAAATTTTAAAACAAACTGCTAATATCATGTAATACATGCTGAGAATGTGGAGGAAGTGGAAATCTCATACATTGCTGGTGGGAATGCAAAATTTCACAAACACTTTGGGAAGCAGTTTGGCAGTTTTCTACAAAGTTAAACATGCATTACTATATGACCCAGCAATATGGGTGGTGGGGATGATAAAAATGACCTTAGGTCTAAAACAGTGCCTTAAACTTCCATTTCTGGCAGTATGATAGGCTAGATACCATGAAAATCCTTAATAAACACAACTATACATATTGGATAAAATATGAAAATGTAAATGAATGACTTGTCAGGAATGTAAGGGATTCTCAAAGGCCAAAAAGTAAAGGATAGAGAGATAACTGGATCATAAAGCGAACTGTGGTGTTGAGAGCACCTTTCAAATGCAAATATAAGTTTTGATTTTATAGCATTGCAGGATATTGGAGAAAGGAGGTAAAGTGTAGATTTTTCCAGGCTGAAGAAACTCATAGGTGACCTTGCATAACATTGGAAAGGCTACATTCTAAGTATAAGTAAAATAAATAGTATCTCTTTACTCCCTATACAACTTCAGCCTTCTTAATATTGGATGGAGAAAACGATTTCCTCTGAGAATTCATAATCTTAAGATAGTTTCAATGTGTTTGCAACCTGAATTTATAAAACCCAGGTGATCAAAAAACCTAAAGTTGACAATTTAGATTAAAGTAGGTCTGGTTTGATAGTCTTGTGCTCCTGAAAGAATCAAATGAAAATTCTTTCTGAAACTCACCTTCAAACATGGCCTTAAATAATTTCCACAGAATAAAATTCTAGGGAAAACAAGCTTGCGGTAAAAAAAATCACATACATTTAAAGAAATAAAGCAACATAACCAAAAGACAGGAAAATCAAAAGACAACAGAACTTAACTCCTGAAGATTTCAGCTATTATAATTATCAAACATAGGATGGAAAATAAACATTGTTAATTTGCATATAACAATACAGGAGGGGAATGAAAATATAACTAAAGGGCAACAGAGCGCAACATAAATTTGAAAGAGAGCCAAAGAGAATGCTTAAAAGTGAAGAACATAACAATTAAAATTTAAAACACAGTGGGTAGATTTTAAAATAGATTAGACAGAGCTGAAGAAAGAATTAATGAAATGAATCAAAGAGATGAGAAAGTTACTTATACTGTAGTTCAGAGAGAAAACACATGGAAAATATGAAATATATTGATGTGTTTATATATGTGTGTTCTAGAATACCAGAAGATGACAGAGCGGGGAATGGAGAAGGGGCAAGAGGCAATATCGGAGAGTTAATAGCTGAGAATTTCCAGGATTGTAGAAAGACACTAATTGGGAAGTACAGAAATACTAATCAATCTCAAGCAAGAGAAACAAAAAGACATATATCTACACCTTGATTATTATTGTGAAACAAATGAACACCAAAGGTGAAAAATCAGTCATAGCAAACAGACTCAGAGAAATAAAAATTAGACTGATAGCTGACTCAGCAGCAACAATAAATCCCAGAAAGACTAGAATAATATCTTCTATGTGCTGAGAGAAAATAACTTTAAATAGAGTTAGAACTTAAGGAAATTATCTTTCAAGACAGAGAGCTATAAAAAGATGAGAGTTATATAAAAATATGCCCAGCAAAAACAAAATTTGAGAGAGTTTGTCCCTAGAAACTCTCAATGAAGAAATCTGAATAATGTTCTCCAGAATAAATGAAAATAATCCCAGATAAAATGTCTCAGATGCAGGAGGAAAAAATGAGAAAAAAGGTAGTAAATTGATAGGTAAATCTAAACAGATGTTGACTATATAAAGCTATAACTATATTTTTGTGGGATCAAAAGAGGAGAGAAAAATAAGATACAGGACAATAGTATATACACTGAAAAAGGAATTTTTTTTTTTTTTTTTTTTTGAGACAGGGTCTTACTCTACAACACAGGCTGGTGTGCAGTGGCAGGATCTTGACTCAGTGCAACCTCCACCTCCTGGGTTTAAGTGATTCTTATGCTTCAGCCTCCCGAGTATCTGGGATTACAGGTATGTGCCACCACTCCCAGCTAATTTTTGTATTTTTAGTAGATACCGTGTCTTGTCACATTGGCCAGGCTGGTCTCGAATTCCTGGCCTCAAGATCCGCCTGTCTCAGAGTCCCAAAGTGTTGGGATTACAGATGTGAGCCACGAGGTCTAGCTAAAAAGGGAAATCTTGATGACTTTGCTTCCAATTACACTGAAAAAATGAGAGCAATTAGAAGATAACTGCTCACCCTACAACTATCCACCTATTGGCATCTCTACCCACATATTCTCTCTTCCCTAGGTGATGTGGTTTGGCTTTGTGTCCCCACCCAAATCTCATCTTGAACTGTAATCTGCATGTGTCCAGGGAGGGAGGTGACTGGATCATGGGAGCAGTTTCCCCCATGCTGTTCTCATGTGAGTGAGTGATTTCTCACAACATCTGATGGTTTTATAAGGGGCTCTTTTCCCTTTGATCTCCATCACTTCCCCTCCTGCCATCTTGTGAAGAAGGTGCCTGGTTCCCTTTCACCTTCCACCATGATTTTTAAAAATTAATTAGTTTATTTTATTATACTTTAAGTTCTAGGGTACATGTGCACAACGTGCAGGTTTGTTAAATAGGTATACATGTGCCATGTTGGTGTGCTGCACCCATTAACTCGTCATTTACATTAGGTATATCTCCTAATGCCATCCTGTCCCCTCTCCCCACACCCCACACCAGGCCCCAGTGTGTGATGTTCCCCAGCCTGTGTCCAAGTGTTGTCATTGTTCAATTCCCACCTATGAGTGAGAACATGCAGTGTTTGGTTTTCTGTCCTTGGGATAGTTTGCTCAAAATGATGGTTTCCAGCTTCATCCATGTCCCTACAAAGGACGTGAACTCATCCTTTTTTATGGCTGCATAGTATTCCATGGTATATATGTGCCACATTTTCCTAATCCAGTCTGTCTTTGATGGACATTTGGGTTGGTTCCAAGTCTTTGCTATTGTGAACAGTGCCACAATAAACATACATGCGCATGTATCTTTATAGCAGCATGATTTGTAATCTTTTGGTATATACCCAGTAATGGGATGGCTGGTTCAAATGGTATTTCTAGTTCTAGATCCTTGAGGAATCACCAGACTGTCTTCCACAATGGTTGAACTAGTTTACAGTCCCACTAACAGAGTAGCAGTGTTCCTATTTCTCTACATCCTCTCCAGCACCTGTTGTTTCCTGACTTTTTAATGATTGCCATTCTAACTGACCTTCCACCACGATTGTAAGTTTCCTGAGGCCTCCCCAGCCATGTGGAACTGTGAGTCAATTACATCTCTTTCCTTTATAAATTACGCAGTCTTGGGTAGGATCTTTATAGTAGTGTGAAAACAGACTAATACACCAGCTGACACTGAGGTTAGATTCCCCATGCTCCTTTCTAAAGCCAATTCCTCCACTTGTGCTCTAGATCTCAATACCTCTTGCCTACTCATGGAAAAACTGCAGCAATTCTTCCCTCTCACTTTACATCATCATGATTCCCCTTCTACATCTTCTAGATCATTCCCTCCAGCATAAAACATGCTGTTATTTCTTCTACCTTTAAAAAATCATCCTCTTTTCAACCATACTTCCTCTTCTAGATGCTGCCCTATTTCTCTGCTCTCCTTTGCAGCAAAACTCCTTGGAAGGGTTGTTCTTTACTCTTTTTCAAGTTTAGGAAACTAAATCCAAGCCAAGTAAAAAGAAGGAACTAATAAAGAACTGAAATTGGTAAAATAGAAAACAAACACAATAGAAAGGATCCATAAAACAATGCCTAGTACATAATAGGCAGTTAATGAATACTTGTAAATTGCATGTTAAATAGTAATTCAGCAGACAGAACACTTTAAAATGTAAAATTTATAAAGGTTATTACCTGTTCTTCCTTTTACTGAAGAGGAATTTTTTAAGTCTCCACTAATACTGGTGACTGTAGCCATGTATTTTCGTCCAGGCACCAGGTCAGTAAAAGTGAATTCTTTGGCATCTTTGGAGAGTGACTTGTGGATCAGTAAGAGGTCTCTGTCAGCTAGGGAAATGATGTATTTCTCCCATTCTGCTACAGGGGGCTGCCATATGATGCTCAGTGAGGTTTCATTGGCATGTTTGACACGAAGCTGGAGGACAGCCAGGGGGACTGAGGAAAAAGCAATGGAGACTTGGGTCACTGATGGACTCAGGCACATTCATAGAGTATACTTTTGAGAGCTCTTCTCTTCCATTCTTAAGAGTGTCTCAGTTCAACATTTGCTTTATGAATGTCTCTGAGTATTAAAACAAAATCTTATCACAAAAAACTTTGTTCATGTATTGTAACCAGAAATACAGACTCAATTGGAAAACATCTTGCCAGAAGAGTCATTGATTTTTGACTACATAATACTTTGAGTTTCTTTTTATATGGATTCTGTAATACAAAAATATTTACTCCAATCTTGTCATTCCCAAAATCACAAAGAAGCGTTCCTGTTTGAGTATTTAGGTGGAGCTAGGAGTATTTGTCACCCCCATAGGTTGAGGAGACCAAGTGCAACTTTCCCTCATTTCTGAGGTGGGGGACACTGATGTGTTCATCGAAGGGAGAGTTGGCTGGCAATAATAGCATCTAATTGAGGACTTGTCTCAAAATTGATTCATTTAAAAGGTTTTATTATTACAATTTCTAGGAGACATTAAGAATAAAGTGTTGGTCGGGCGCAGTGGCTCACGTCTGTAATCCCAGCATTTTGGGAGGCCGAGGCGGGTGGATCACTTGAGGTCAGGAGTTTGAGACCATCCTGGCCAATATGGCAAAACTCCATCTCTACTAAAAATACAAAAATTAGCCAGGTGTGGTGGCTCACATCTCTAGTCCCAGCTACTCGGGAAGCTGAGGCACGAGAATTGCTTGAACGCGGGAGGTGGAGGTTGCAGTGAGCTGAGATCATGCCACTGCACTCCAGTCTAGGCAACAGAGCAAGACTCCATCTCAAAAAAAAAAAAAAAAAGGAATAAAGTGTTGCTGCCTTAAATTATGAAAGAATCAAGTATGAAAACTTTTATTATAAATTTTGCATCCATAAATTTTCTATAAATCCATTCTAACTGAGTCCCTAACTCTCCATCTTCCTCCTTTGGTATAGAGAAATAATTTGATTATTTACATTGAGGCCTACTTCAAGTTACCTAAATAAGGTAAACTGGAGATACAGTTTAAGAAAAGTTTGGGCTGGGTGCAGTGGCTCACGCCAATAATCCTAGCACTTTGGGAGGTCGAGGTGGGTGGATCACCCGAAGTCAAGAGTTTGAGACCAGCCTGGCCAACATGATGAAACCCCGTCTCTACTAAAAATGCAGAATTAGCTAGGCGTGGTAGCACATGCCTGTGATCCTAGCTACTTGGGAAGCTGAGGCAGGAGAATCGCTTGAACCTGGGAGGCGGAGGTTGCAGTGAGCCATGATCACGCCATTGCCCTCCAGCCTGGGCAACAAGAGTGAAACTCTATCTCAAAAAAAAAAAAACAAAACAAAACCAAATGTTTGGCCTGGCGCCATGGCTCATGCCTGTGATCCTAGCACTTTGGGAGGCCAAGGTGGGTGGACTGCTTGAGGCCAGGAGTTTGAGACCAGCCCTGGCCAACATGGTAAAATCCTGTCTCTACTAAAAATACAAAAATTAGCTGAGCATGGTGGCACATGCCTGTAATCCCAGATACTTGGGAGGCCAAGGTACAAGAATTGCTTGAACCTGGGAGGTGGGGGTTGCAGCGAGCCGAGATTGTACCACTGCACTCCAGCCTAGGCCTGGGAGACACAGCAAGACTCTGTCTCAAAGAGTAAAAATAAAGAAATAAATAAAAGTTCTCCTGAGAATTATGCTGACATGCTGAGAGCCCCTAATGTTTTGTGATCTTACATTTCCAAGTCATTTGAGATGAGTGATAAAATATTAGAGACGACATAGATGCTTGTCCTGTGAAATACTAAAAGTAGCTTAGTTTAAGCTGCTATAGGTCTTTGATCATCATCCAGTGGACATTAATATTTGGAAGATGAAGAGATTACTGCAAGACACAGTTGTCAAGCGAAGTGGGTGTCATGATCTTTTCTTTGACATTCTTCTAAGAAGAACAGTGAATCCATGTAGTTATTTCCCTATTATCAGGCAAACTAAGAAGATGATATTGGAATTTCACTCTAAGTATGGAGCATTTCACATTACAAGGATTATCAAGGAAATGTTGAACCTGGAAGTGCAACTCTCTTCTTTGACAATATGAGTACAAGTATTTGACAGTATGAGGATACTGAAACATGATTCTTGCTGTCATGATTATACTGCAAAGCTTTGGGCAGTTATAACCTCTTTGAGCCTGTTTTCTCATTTCAGTAGCCTTATTCTTCCCTTCCCTAAAATCCAAATATATCCCTCTCCACTTTAATCACTCTTCCTTGGTACCTGAAATCCCCACATTAGTCAGCATGAGGTCAAAGGCAATGGTTCCCTAATGCTGATCACTAGCAAAACGTTCTTCTTTTGTGGGAAGGATTGTCTTTGTTTTCGGAATGTATCCATCCTACTCTTTTGGTGTTTAAAATGGCTTTCTTTCATGAAATAATGGAATTACTAGTGGAAGTGATTTTAAATGTTCTAATTTGACAAATTAGGTGTTAGAAACCCCACGTTAGTCTTAACGTCCTTAATATCTCAAATTCAGAAAACACGAGGGTATGATATTAGCTGTTAACAGCAGTTACCTGGATTACCTGGGAGAGGGAACAAATTACTCTTCCATTGGTATTAACACCTTCATATTTGCCTACCTGTCCGGCCTTGGCAACGCTCAGGATTCTTCAAATTTCCACTCTCAACAATGACTTCCACCTCATACTGTCTTCCCGGCACGAGCCCCATGTCATCCATGACATAGTGTGTTTCTTCGTTTCCCACAGTGATGTTGAGCAGCACTACAGAATCATTGAAGAGTAGGATCCGATACTGCTCCAAGTCTCCAGCAGGGGGCGACCAGCTCACTACAAGAGACCTCATCCAGCCATTACTGTTTGCCTCCAGGTTTGCAACTTTGTCTGGAACTAAATGGTGAAATGATGTCAAAAAGGAGATATTACAAACCAAAAGTAAGAATACTCATTTACTTTTCTTGGGCAGCAATAGATAGGAGACACAATATCTGCAGTTCAAAACATTTCTATCCCCTCTTGATGTCTGTGGATTGCAAATGAGGGTTCTTTGAGACGTTTGACACTCAAGAAATGTCTGCCAAAATCATTTTAGTAATATCAGCAATGTAATCTTCTGTTACAGTGTTAATAATCTAGTGAAATGTGGCATCCTTTGGAAGAGATATTGGATGTCGTGATCATGAGGCATTCGTTTCTTTTTTCCAACTAAAAAGATTAATGTTCTTGCAAGATTAAGCTCTATTTTCTTTTTTTTTTTTTTTTTTTTTTTTTTTTCTTAAAAGCATTCAAGGTCTCTCTATAACCTACAGAATAAAGTGTTAAGCCCTCTGCTTACATTTTTGGCTCTTTAAGTTCAGACCCCACATCCTTCCAGTCTTAACTGAGACTACTTTCTGCAGCCATCCTGTCTCCTTCCCTACCCTTTGGAAAGCTGACCTCCAGTTGCATGTTCTGTAGACTTGCAAGTCTCCTGGGCTCTTCTGCCTCTGGGCCTTTGCTTATTTTGTCCCCTCCGCCCCAAAAGCTCTTCCCTCTTTGTCACAAATGTTATATTTTTTAGGTCCTCATTAAAGACCATTTCTATTTCCTCCAAGTTGGTTTTATTTTTTTTGAGACAGGGCCACACTCTATTGCTAGGCTGGAGTGAAGTGATGCAATCATGGCTCAACTACAGGGCTCAAGCAATTCTCCCAGCTCAGCCTCCTGAGTAGCTAGGACCAGAGGCATATGTCACCATGCCCAGCTAATTATTATTATTATTATTATTTTTTTTTTTGTAGAAACAAGGTCTCACTATGTTGCCGAGGTTGGTCTCAAACTTCTGGGCTCAAGCAACCCTCCACTTCGGCCTCCTAAAGTGCTGGGATTACAGGCATGAGCCACCGCGCCCTGCTCCCATTTCCTCCAAGTTTGTGCTGCTCTTATGAAAGAGAATTTTGTTATCTTTCCTCTTTGACCATATAGCTTTTACTTCAGATCTCTAATAGCAGAGGGAATGAACTCTGGAATCAAATAGCCTAGTTTAAATTCTAGCTCCAGCACTTACTGAGTGGATAACTATGGACAAATTATTTGACCTCTTTGAATTATCTGTATAATGCTAATAATAACAGGACATCTCTCACAGTTTTGTTGTGAGAACTAAATGAAATAATGAGTGTAAATTATTTTGTCAGTGCCTGATACATGGAAATATCAATACAGTCACTATTATTAAAATGTACTATTTTTATTTTTGTACATGTATGTATTCTACATCTGTGTGATTAAAATGAAACTTTTCTAAAGCAGAAGTTGGACAATTTTTTCTGTAAGGATCAGGTAGTAAATATTTCAGGTTTTGCAGGATACATATGGTTTCCGTCTCATCTTTTTCTTGTTTGTTTGCTTATTTGTTTGTACAACCCTTTAAACATGTAAAAACCACTCTTAGCTTGAGGGCTAAACAAAATCAGGCCACAGACCAGATTTGGCACCAGATGGGGTAGTTTGTTGGATCCTGCCTTAAAGGCAAGTAGCATGTCTTATTTGTTTTAACAATATTACAGTAATTTACACATATAAGGCACTGGATAGATAAGTGTTTGAGGACATAAATTAATAAAATAATGTATGGAAAACATGGTTAAATGCTAACTGGTTCTCACTGTAAGAATGAGTCAGAAGGCCGGGTGCGGTGGCTCAAGCCTGTAATCCCAGCACTTTGGGAGGCCGAGACGGGTGGATCACGAGGTCAGGAGATCGAGACCATCCTGGCTAACACGATGAAACCCCATCTCTACTAAAAATACAAAAAAAAAAAAAAAACTAGCCGGGCGAGGTGGCGGGCGCCTGTAGTCCCAGCTACTCGGAAGGCTGAGGCTGGAAAACGGCATAAACCCGGGAGGCGGAGCTTGCAGGGTGCTGATATCCGGCCACTGCACTCCAGCCTGGGTGACAGACCTAGACTCTGTCTCAAAAAAAAAAAGAATGAGTCAGAAATGTTTTATATACTGGCATCAGTGCTAATGCATTTATGCTACTTAAGTGATGTGACATGAAAAAGCATAAGACAGAAACAATATGCACATCATTCAGAAATCCAAACTCATTTGCCTAAGTGACTCAGACAAATGGGTCCTACCCCAGACACCTTCAGTTACATAGGCTCCACTTCTCAGACTGGGAAAGGAGTTTTCCTGCTAACTTATTTTGTCCTATTCTAAGGTGGATCAGAGAGTGATTTGAGCAACCAAGGAACATTCTGGAGCCCAAGACTCACATGTTCTGCCCACTGCCATCTTCTGAGCAGACAGTTCACCAGAGACACAGCTGACAGTAACTTGATAAAGTCGTCCAGGGGTTAACTCTTTAAAGTGAGTTTCAGTGACCCGAGGTGCTAATACTCTGGATTCTTTGATGGTCCCTTTATGAGAGAGGGTGATGTTGTAAGAATCCACATTTCCAGGAGGTCTTTGCCACTTGACTTTTAGAGAGGTCAAACTGCCATCATTTGTCACCTTCAGATTTGAGACTTCCATGGGGGCTAATTAGGAAAGAACAGAAAAGAGACTTTTACTCAGGATATCTCACCAGTCCTATGGCCAAATTTTGACCTGTAATTTTATTTCTGCAAGCCACATTCCTTGCGCTGGAGAAAACAAGCACTTTAAGAGGCAAAAATTATCCTCTTCAGATGGTGAAGAAATAAAAGTAAAAAAAAATTTTAAAGAGGCAAAAATAATGCTGTAAAACCAAAGGTAGGCTATGTGCTTGGTGGCAAGGCCCAAATCTTGTCAGGCAGAAGCCTGGATTCTGGTTCAGACTGGGCCACTGGTCAGCTGGGAAACTCTGGACAGCTCTTTCTAGTTCACTGAACCTTACAGTGTTTCTTATTGGCAAATGAGGCTAGGTCAAAGCCCCACAATGGTCCTTCCCAATTCAGAAATTCTTTAAGTGGAATGCGCAAAGAGGTCTGTCATTTGCCTCATTTCTTATCGCCTTTATATATTAATATTCAATAATATTGACTACATAGTAAATATATTGATCAATTGATTAGTGATTACAAAATTTTATGTGATAAAACTAATTTTGATATTAAATCATGATAAAGTTAATGAGTTATGTTACTACTTCATCAAAGGAAAATGATTAAAAAGGAGATACCCTTTTGTGAATACTTTTTTTCTAGAATATAAATTAATGAAGCTTCCTTAAAAGAATGGGCGGCCTGGAGCGGTGGCTCATGCCTATAATCCCAACACTTTCGGAGGCCGAGGTGGGTGAATCACCTGAGGTCAGGAGTTCCAAGACCAGCCTGGTCAACATGGTGAAACCTCGTCTCTACCAAAAATACAAAAATTAGCTGGGCGTGGTGGTGGGTGCCTGCAATCTTAGCTACTCAGGAGGCTGAGGCAAGAGGATCACTTGAACCCGGGAGGCCAAGGTTGCAGTGAGCCAAGATCGCACCCTTGCACTCCAGCCTAGGCAACAAGAGTGAAACTCTGTCTCAAACACAAAACAAAACAAAACAAAAGAATGGGCATAGCACTCTGATTTTGCAATAAGGCAGTTAGGAATGCAATTTGCTCTTGATGTACATAAATAACTTTTAAGATGTACAGAACATTTTGGCCAGGAATATCTACATATATTTGAGGTGTGCTATAAAAGGTACATAAATGTACTGGTATCCTCAAATATCTTTCCCACCAGCCTCCTATAGTTCCAGAAACTAATGTCTAAGGCACGGCATATACTAGAGTTTCTCTTAAAATTAGATAACTTACCAAGAGAGGAGATTTAATTCACACATTAGACTTGCTAGAAGGATTAGACTCTACTAAAATGTAAGCTCCATGAGGGCAAAGACTTTGTCTCTCTTGGATGTTATATCAGCAACGCCCAGCATCTAGCCTATATTCAGTAACTATTGGCTGAATGAAAGTTTGTGTAAATTACTCATTAACACTTAGCATAGATTCATTTATTAGTCTAGGGTAGGCTGTGGGAATAGGTCCTGTGGTATTGGGTCCCAGGTCATGTGGTTAGATAGAAAATTTTGGAAATGACTGTCACACAGGAGTAGGGCTATATATAGCATGGAGAAAGTAATTCTGGTTCGCTGTGAGTGATGTCATAAAGACAGCGGATCCCTGGTTAAGAAAAGGAAGAAGGAATCCTTAGCAAGGAGACGGAGTATTAAAAAGAGAAGAAGAGAAACTAGGTCCATATCAGTAATTAACTTTGCCTACTTCAAAATGTTGCCAAGCGCTAGCCTAAACTTTAGAATGAAAGAGAATCCTTCTTTTTCTGAGTACAAAAGTGGATATTGGTCTTCTATACCTTATAACAATTTCCATTTGTCCTATATTACTGTTATTCAAATAATAAACTTGATTTATTAAACATCCCCTTGAATTCGCTTTATTCTTCTTCAGCTAGCTAGGGAGAACTTACCTGTCCTGACTAGTTTCCACTTGTAGTTTTGCAGCCCTGCGGCCTCAGTCACAACAGTGAGGTTGTAGAGGTAGCCAGGGGTCAGCCCGTTAAAAGTATAGGAAGTAGCTTGTCTGTCCACAACACTGCCATGAACTAGGATCCCTTTATCCATTAGCATCAGCCGGTATCGTTCCACATTCCCAGAACCATGGGACCAGGAAACCAGGAGAGAATTGGCTTTTGTGGAAATACCAATATCTTTCACTGGAGATGGCACTAGTGAGATAAAATGCATGTCCAAATGTCATTCATAATTCCCTTATAGGAGACATATACATTTAATTAGAAGTCACACATTCATCTTAACTTGGTAATAGCATTAATAAATAACAGGATTCTGGAAATTTCACTGGAACTTTGATTAGTGCTGTTTTCAAAGTCTGCAGCCTGAAGTTACATCATAATTTACTTGTGTACCTCCCCCACTTCATAGGTATTAAGGTAGCTTCTGCCAATGAAATATGTAACACTGCACAGCAGTAAGTGTGTTTTTCTTTCCTTTCTAAGTGGAAAAGAGAAAGGAAAGAACTATAGAAGATGAAAAATGGAGAGGGAGATTTAAAAAAGAGAGAAAACGTGGCACATATACGCCATGGAATACCAGGCAGCCATAAAAAAGGATGAGTTCATGTCCTTTGCAGGGACATGGATGAATCTGGAAACCATCATTCTTAGCAAACTAACACAGGAACAGAAAACCAAACACTGCATGTTCTCACTCATAAGTGGGAGCTGAACAATGAGAACACATGGACACAGGGAAGGGAACATCACATACCGGGACCTGCTGGGGGGTTGGGGGGATAGGGAAGGGATAGCATTAGGAAAAATACCTAATGTAGATGATGGAGTTGATGGGTGCAGCAAACTACCATGGCATGTGTATACCTGCACGTTCTGCACATGTATCCCAGAACTTAAAGTATAAATATCCCAGAAATTAAAGTATAATTTTTAAAAAATTTAAAAAGAGAGAAAATGAGGTGAGAGCAAATGACATGAAAGACATGTACTTTATGGAAGGAGGAGTGATGTGCCATGTATATCACAATATGTGGGTGCACAGATGGCTTATTCTTCACCTCATCGAAGAAACAAATACTTGTTTCAAACGTAGGAGTATTTAGGAAACATTATGACTTGATGTTACAAGAGGAGTATACAAAGAATAAAAACATCTAAAAAATAAGTTTTATGGCACAAACTCAGAAAATGGGGCAGAAAGTCTTGTTGCTTTGATTTGAGTTAGAAGAGCCATTAGGGAGTATCTCTTCCAAATTGGAGAAAACTCCAATTCCAGAGAAGTCCCATGACTTCTTCAAAACCATTCAGCAAGTGACCAGCATAGCCACGCATGCTATTTTCAGTCCAGTCTGTCCACTGTATCCCACAAGCTCCTTTTAAAAATTTAACTAATTGCTAATTAATTAATTTTGCTCTGGAGCAGCAATCTTACTCCTATTCCTTGAATAAAGTATAACTTGAAAAGTATCCTATGAACTACTCAGCTATAAATAAATAGGTCTTACCTGTTGATCCATTGGTATAAACTGAAGAAGAATGTTTTCCTCCAGAAACAGCTGTGATGGTAATATTGTATTTACTACCAGCAGTGAGATTGAAAAAAGTGTATTTGTTCCATGAAGTACTTTCTTGAATTTGAACCCCCTGTATCTTTTGGTTATTTTCATCAAATAATTGCACCTCATACGAGGTGACTTTTCCAGGAGAAGGAGTCCACCAAACGTGCAAGCTGGTTGAAGTACTCTTCTCTTTACTGACTCCAAACCTAGCAGGAGGTAAAGGATCTGCAAGGCAAATACCAAAAAAAAAAAAAAAAAAAGAGCATGGCTTGAAGACTTTTGCAAATAACTGCTTATTTTACTGCAGTCCAGACTCATTTTTCTTAAAAATCTGTTATTTGTGAAATAAAGTGGCATTTTGCTTCACTTCCAAACCTACCCTTTCACTTTCTTTAAAAAAAAAAAAAAAAAAAGAAACATTTAGCTACTGGTCATATGAATTCCTTTTTCACGAAAACTTTTTTGTTGTTGTTAAGGTAGCTCTGATCTTGAAAGTTCAAGCAAAGTTATATTTTCTTTGGCTTGCGGTTTAGCAAAGTTTTCAAACACTGACAAACATCCAGGTTATGCCTGGATAAATACTGAAGATCTCAACAGAAAATGCAGATATTAAGAAATAATTTGAAATATACACTGAACTTCTTTCTAGGTTGTAGATTGTTGGTGTCTAGTATACGTAACTTTGGGTGGTTTTTTAGATATTAGACAACCACAAAAGATACAGATCTGATTATAAACCCAGGATAGGTTTGCTTACCAAAATGGATTCTCCCACTAGCTGGGACTCCCTATATCCCTAGACTTTTTTTTTTTTTTTTTTAGGTGGAGCATTGCTCTTGTAGCACAGGCTGGAGTACAGTGGCACGATCTCGGCTCACTGCAACCTCCGCCTCCTGGGCTCAAGCGATTCTCCTGCCTCAGCCTCCCTAGTAGCTGGGATTATAGGCACATGCCACTGCGTCTGGCTAATTTTTTTTTGTATTTTTAGTAGAGACAGGGTTCCACCATGTTGGTCAGGCTCGTCTTGACTTCCTGACTTCAGGTGATCTGCCTGCCTCGGCCTCCCAAAGTGCTGGGATTAGAGGCATGAGCCACCGCACCTGGCCCCCTATATCCCTAGATTTTTAACATCTCAATTTTGGGGCACTTTGATGCTGCCAGAGCACCCAGAGTATGTGGGAATGGGCAAATCTTGCGCCCAACTGTTCATCTTATTTCAACTCTCAAAGCCAAGGATCAGTTTGAGAAGTCCTGCTTTGCCTGTGGTTGAATCTCCACCATTGAACTTGAATAGAATAAAAAGCATATCTGGGTTAGGAACTAAGTCAACGATATTTAGTGAGCAGCCATTCTTTTGGTACAGTGAGGAGTAAAGTCTATGAAATAAGGGGCTGCCCCTACCCTGAATGCTGAGAGTAGAACTATTGTGAGACATCTTTAGGAGAAATTTTCAGAAATCCAACATGGTTCTTGGTCTAGAAAGTGGGATCAAGATATTGGAAACCAATATTGGAGGGTCAGGTCAGATATTAGAATGGCATGGCTATAGAAACTTCACTACTTCCTGGTAGACCATGTTGTGTTCACAATATAACACCAGGAATTCTAGACCTTAATTAGAAAATATAACCTTCTTATATGTCTTAAGATGATGTTCACCTGCAATTAACATATAAAAAAGAAATAAGATCGCCTTACTCTATATTCAAAAGGCAGTTATAAACAGACAACTCATAAGACTATGTATGGCTGACCAATAGATACCACAGGCTTAATAGAGCCTATGAAATCTAATGTTTCTATGTTGTATGCTATGATTTATATAAGTACCTCATACTATAAAATTATATATGCCACATTTATAACATCAATAATTAATAATAACATAAATTGTAGCTGACAAGCAAGCTGAGGCAGCAGTAACTAAGACAAACATTAACAGAGTGCCCAAAACACAGGTGAGCTTGGAAGACAAGGTTGCAGGGTTCAACCACAGCACAGCCCTTTGGTTCACCCGAAGAACATATGTTCTACAGTTTGACAGCCTGGGCTTGAATTGGGCTCTCCTATTTGTAGCTGTGTGCTTTGGGCAATTCCTTAACCTCCCTGTGCCTCAGTTTCTTCATTTATGCAATCCTGATAATAAATAATATCCTTTTAGTAGAGTTATTATGAAGATTAAATTGAATATTATATAAAAAGTAGTTAGAACTGTGTCTGGCATGTAGTAAGTGCTCAATGTTACCTGTTATTATTATTCCTATAATTAGGTGAAAATATTGCCACAGAAGCAGTGAAATGTAATGGCAGACAGTATGAGCTTTGGAGTCAGAATTACATTCAAATCTCAGCTCTGACAAAGTCATGAGACTTTGGGCAGGCTATTTAACCTGTCTAAGCCTCCACTTTCCTATCTGTCTGGGGAGTATAATACTAATACTTACATTCCAAGGCAGTTTTGAGTAGTAACAAGATATAGAGGAGACTATGAGATTCTAATAGTCAGTGAAACTCAAGAACAATGCTGTCGTACCTGACTGAGATGACATACTTTTGCTGAAGTGGCATTTTAAGGACAAGGATGAGAGGGACAGCTACTTCCAGTGATAGTTCAAAAGGGATCAATACTGTCATCTACAAGTATTTTCAAGCCAGATAAAAATTCTAAAAAATAATGTTATGATCAGTAGAATCTAAACATATATAATCCACAAAATATGAGACATAGAAATAAATTTTAAGGTTGCGTGCCTAGAGGGTGAAGTTCAGAAATGCAGACTTTATCTAATCTTTCTGAGCCACAAAACAAAACAGTCAATCCTTTGTACATCCGCTAGAACAAAGGAACAATGAGACTGGGAAGTGCCTGGGCTGCGAGAACCTGCACTGGAAACAAACACTTAAAACCCCATTTATACTGTGATAAAGCCCTTTGCTGGCAGTTGTCCACTATTGCTATGCATGCTGCAGAAACTAAATAGTTTTCAGACTCCCTTTAAATCTAAGCCCAATAAAAACTCTGATGGATTTAAAAAGTTTTCAAAATTGTATTAGGTACTTCTATCAGGGGTGCACATTTCATATATGTCTGTGTGTGTATGTATGTATTAAATATATATGTGTATATATATATACGGAGACAGAATTTTTAATGCTACTTGAAAATTTAGCCATGTACCTATAATCTTCTGATCATATGACAGATCATACGTAATTAGGAAATCCTACTTGACTTTATATAATTTATGCAGATGTTTAAAGGTATCAGTGCACAGATGTGTGCACTGATAGTCTCTGGTTTTTCCACTCATCACACTCATACACATAGTAACCAGTGAAGTATTACAAAATATGAGAACTAATAAATCAAAAATAATAAATCATAGCTTTAGTCTTGATTAACATATCAACATTTATCATTAGCCATAAATTTAAAGCACTTTGTACTTCTTGGTTCCCAACAGACCTGAAATAAGGAACGACAAATGCATAGTCAAAATGAATAACAACAGTAAGTTCTATAGTATTCATTTAAATACTTGAATAAATCTACCAGCACCAGAATGCCCCCAGAGTTCCATAAGCAGGCTTGACGTCAACACAATTTTTCTGTTCTCAAAGGAAAAGGCAAAGTATGGCAAAATTCCTGAGCCAAAATGAATTCTTTTTTTTCTTTTTTTTTTTTTTTTTTAATGTGACTTAGGAAGCCAAGTGTGGTGATGTGTGCTCTTAGTTCCGGTTACTCAGGAGGCTGAGGCAGGAGGGTTGCTTGAGTCCAGGTTTGGAGGCCGTAGTGCGTCATAATAGTGCCTGTGAATAGCTACTGCACTCCAGCCTGGGCAACACAGAAAGACCTTGTCTTTTTTTTTTTTTTTTTTTTTAATGTTATTTAAAACAAGAAAGAAAGCTATATTTATAGCACAAATAATATTTGCTTCTTAATTGTTTTTGTCACAGCATGGTCATTAAAACATTAGTATCTATTGATATAGAAATTCCTAGACTCTTTAGAATTAGAAATGATTGTATTTGCTATAGAAATAAATTCAACCTTATAACAAAGGGCAGCCAATCCATGGGTTGGTGCCAAAAGCTTTTCTTAAAGGCATAACAGCACAACATTACATCTGATAATTTACAACACGCTTTCTCAGTTGGAATAGGGGCGCAGAGACATTAAATGACTCACTCATGTTGTATAGGAACAGGTAGTACAGTTGAGCTTCCAATACCTGTCTCTAAATTGTGTTTTCTTTCTGTCACAACTTAGCTGTCCTAGTGTGGGAAATGATGTCATGAATTGCATATTCAGTGTAATGACAAAAAATAAAAATTGATGTCTATGGAAAATGATAGGCATATTTACAGAATTTTTCAGATGGTGGTTTGCTATTGTAGCATAGTCAAAATTAATAACAACAGTAATGACAGTTCGATCTAATTCTGTGATCATGAAAGTTCCTTTTTTGAACATAATATTTTTCTTTCCCGTTCCCTTTTTTCCTTATTTATTGCCTTTACCTGGAGTCTCTTCATTTTGTGCTAGATTACTTTGAGAGTCTTCTAAGTGTCTTCCTTATTTTCTTCTGGGACAGGGCCTTGCTCTGTCACCCAGGCTGGAGTCCAGTGATGTGATCATGGCTCACTGCAGCCTCAACCTCCTGGGATCAAGTGATTATCCCACCTCAGCCTCCCAAGTAGCTGGGACCACAGGTGCATACCACCATGCCCCACTAATTTTTGTATTTTTTTTTTTTTTTGAGACGGAGTCTAGCTCTGTTGCCAAGGCTGGAGTGCAGTGACACAATCTCGGCTCACTGCAACCTCCGCCTCCTGGGTTCAAGTGATTCTCCTGCCTTAGCCTCCCAAGTAGCTGGAATTACAGGTGCCCACCACCATGCCCAGCTAATTTATATATTTTTAGTAGAGATGGAGTTTCATTGTGTTGGCCAGTGTGGTCTTGAACTCCTGACCTTGTGATCTGCCAGCCTCGGCCTTCCAAAGTGCTGGGATTACAAGCATGAGCCAGCATGCCTAGCCTAATTTTTGTATTATTTTGTAAAGATAGGGTTTCACCATGTTGCCCCAGCTGGTCTCAAACTCCTGAGCTCACATGATCCTCCCACCTTAACCTCCCAAAGTGCTGGGTGGGATTGCATGCGTGAGCCACCATGCCCAACCTCTTCCTTATTTTCTGTCTTTCCTCCATGATTGCCAAATAATCT